TTGCAGAAAAGAATCAAAGGAATGATCTAAACTTGAAGAAGAAAACAAAACACAATATCTTAACTAAGATTCTCTGCCAATTCAGTTCATGCATTAATAAATACAATCTGCTTAGATTAAACGTAAAATCTAACAGCAATATAAATTATATTCTAAAATATAAATAAGTACGTAACACCTTGGAATATGAGATGCATTAAAAAAATGTATATCCTCAAGAACGTCGTTCTTTTATCGCTTAGATGTGGAGTGGATTAGATGTTCCAATAAAAGTAATTACAATGAATAAAGCTATTATTTATTTTCTGTGTCAATATCATGTCTTCGTTTTTGTCAATTTTGTGTATTCCGGAAACTGTAATTGTCGCAATAAAATGTGTTCAACTCATTTCTTTCCTTCCTTTTCTTAATGTCAATTTCACGTTATTTTATCTGATTAAATAATTTGGCGGGCGATCGTTAAATAAATAATAATTTCTGCAAGGTTGTGGCTGTTGAAAAGGCACAAAGCGGTTCACAAAAGATGTGTGTGCGAGAGTTGCGACGTTTCCTTATTACTTTTAATTTTGTCACAACTTAAGCACACATTCACTTTGAACTTACACATCATGACACACTTGCTGCATCCAGCGATGGCCGAGAATCTTACAATCCCAAATTGGAACTTCTTTTATCGTGGTCAAGCGAACAAACTATAAATGATATGCTGCGTCAATATTGACGATTCGCATTGTTTGATTTGTGTAATTAGGAAATACTTATTTGTAAACCGCACTGTCCCATTGTTTCGTTTCTGCTTTCAAGTTTGCTTCCATTCGTGGGAATATCTAATATGATTCATTACATGAAATGTGTAAATTAGGAGTTATCAGATTTTTTTGTTAGCATTTAAAATAAGGTGGAAAAAAATATCAAGGAAAACAAACAGACTCTTTTCATTGACGAACATCTTTTAGCACTCCCGAATTGTTGCCTAATTAGAAGATTCTTAGAAAAACTTACTTAACAGTTTTAGACATAAACGAATTGGACATATTCACTATAAAGCGTAAAATATAATAATCATTAATAAATGTATGTTGTTCATTCAGATTATTTTGAATTCACTTTGTTTCATAATTCATTTCATTATTTTTATATTAAAATACTCACTCATAATATTCTAATTCCTTTACTAATATTATTAATATTTGCTAAGTAGGTCTAATTTTGTTTGATCGTTGACCATAATGTTCTTAATCAGTCTCCGTTTTGTAAATTTGTCTTAAGACAACAAAAAATCGTCTGTGTTTACCAAAAGTGCCATTTTATTAGTTCAAAGTTTTAGCATGTTTACACAATGTTTACAAATCAGAGTGATTTTTTCCAAAAGGATTTATGGTTGATGTTATTAGGTGATTTGAAGTGTTTATATTTAATTTAATAAACATTTATAATAAAATATAACAAGATCATAATTTCATACCAAATCAAGTGGTTTATCAAGTCTCTTCATATTTATCTTTATGAATTAGTTAAAATATTTTGTTTAGTAACTAATGTTTTTTTTATTATTATTTAAATTACAATTGATACTAAATACACATTCAAAAACACACCAACTTCAACATTAAAATATTTGTGCACATGGACATGTTTGTAGAAACTTAACTCATCTAACTGGAATTAATTTTACAATTTATATAAAATGAAATGAAATATTAATAAAAATAATAAATTCGATCCCAGTTTTAAACCAATATACATTATTATGTGCGTCAAGTCTGAAGGCGTTAATATTTATCAATTTTATTGTTACAATAATTAATATTTATAAAATTAACTTGAAAAACAAAACATATTTTTTAAAATAGGAAAAACAAAATTTAATATTATTGCACTGCATATAATTATTTAGTTTTGTAAGGTTTGTCTTCGATATATTATATCTAAATTTACATAATAATTTAATAACTGTTGTAAATAAAATTTCGAAACTAGCAATTATAATTTAAAATATCAAACTGATTACTATTATCAATATACATACGTACTTATGTTTAAAATATGAGGAAATGAATTAATATGTATTTATACAAATAAATTAAAATATAGTTAAATGTCTAAAAATTAAGAATAAAAAAAACTATTTATTACTTTATGAAAATTTTAATTAAGATTTATTTGATTAATTACATTTTTACATTAATATAATACTTTTATAATTATATAAATGGAAAGGATAATATTAATTAATATTGTATGTCCTTCTAATTATCATAAATTAAGTATAAAATAATGTAGAATTGTGACGAGATGTATTTTAAATAAAACAATATTTTCTTAATTATTGTAAATGTTTTAATTGTTTAGTTTAATATTGAATTAGTTATAATAAGAAAAGTATTGCTGAATCCCATTTATATACTAAATTATTTTAATATATAATTGTGTAAAACTAAATACGATTTTTCTTTGATAAAAGTTATGTGTGTATACAGATGGATCTTGTATGTTCTGCCAAATACGTGCGACCATTAAGCAAATAGTTTTAAAGTTGATGTTGCCTTTGGAGTGTACGAAGAAAGAAGAGAGAAAGGACAGAGATAGAGAAGAGAAGAGAGCAAGAGTATACATTTCTGCTGACAACTTTACAGCTTTTGATACTTGTTACATTTTTATTATGGGTTTCCTAGTTGTCGGTCAACCGATATATAGCTTAAGTCCAGTTCGCCTCCGCCAGTTCACCAATAGACACGCTCCCGTTCGCATCTCAAGTCATTTACAAAATTTATATCCAACAGTTTGCGCGTTCAGTCATAACACAAAACGCGTGTCATAACACCAAACACATCCACACATAGTCGAAATCGCATAGTTTGGAAAGCATCAACACTCACATCCACCGCAATAATTATGCAGTTTTCGAAGACTGCGAAAAGGACTAACTGATCTAATTTATGATATTTATTTATTTGTTTATTTATTGTTGTGCTTCGTTCATCATCAACAAGAATGTGCAAAGAGGAAGTCGTCGAATCTCACCAGAAGGACATTCAGCTCGAAGACCTCAGGGCGGCTCCAACAGCTGATAAAAAGTAAGTCCCACTCGAAACAGCTGCTATTGTTATTATTACAGCTTCTCTACATATATACATTTTTTTCAAACTCCAAAAGGTCATGGTTATTTAAAATTGTTTAGAAGCCGGCACGGGACGCTGATAAAGACCGTATCTCCAACACCCGAAATCATTTGTAATCATCATTAAAGTTATCTTGATTTTCTTTTCTTAACACAATCACTCGATTTTTAATTACATCTTAATCATACGGTTTAAATATTTGCGTTTCCAATTCTTAAACATATTACCGTTAGCTAAAGTGTAGTTATTATATTACTATATTAAAGAATCAGTTTGATATGATCTGGAAGATTTCATTCATGCTCATTTTAATGTATAAAAAAAGATGATGTGCATTAAGAACTGTGCCAATTATATTTAATATAATAATTGCACATTGAACTAACTTTGCAAATCGCGATTAAAGCGTATTTCATTTGCAAAGTTATGCAAGTAAACAAAGCGTGTATTAAACGCGTTATTTCATGTAACAGTAAAATAGTTAAATGAGTTTAAGATCGATGCGTGATTACATAGTTTACAGCGACAAAGTCAATGCCAATTGCTCAACTATGATAATTACGTGCGTACATTTTAAATGCGTGTTGATAAGAAAATAACTTAATCTGCGAATTATTTAATCTTCAGGAAATAGATGCTGTCTATTATTTTCTTTATAAAGTTTTAATTAATTTCTTTATTTTCAGAAATGCCAGTAAAAGTTTTACGACTCGCCAAAAAGTTGGGTTGGTTATGCTTGCCACCGTGGAGTTCTCCAGCTATTGCTCAATGTCCATCATGGCACCTTTCTATCCGCGCGAAGCTAGGGATAAGGGCATGTCGGAATCTTTAGCCGGATTCGTATTCAGCTTTTACGCTTTAATCATATTCGTATCATCGCCAATATTCGGTAAAATTGTAAGTACAAACGCTCTGAAATTAACAAAGAAAATCATTACAATTAAATATATTCATTTGCAGTTGCCGAAAGTCGGTGTCAAACTTCTATTTATTGGAGGTATAGTTACCTCGGGAATATGCAGTATTATATTTGGGTAAGTTATCAATATGAAAAAAAAACTGTAAGTTTAATGTCCTGATTTTTGGAATTTGTAACTATGGCTTTTATTTAAATTTACTTAAGATTACTTAAACTATGTGTGTTTAAGATTGCTTGAAGTAACAAGAGAAATGTAATTGCAAGCAATATTTACTATTTTTATGATGTTGTATACGAAATTAAAGCGTTAATCCAATTCAGATTAGATCTTTGGGTAATCTTATGCGAACCAGAAACACGTCACGCGTCACAACTACAAAAGGAATTAAATACAATACATGAAGATACAATTGTTAATAGATTGTATGATCCCTGTGGCAATTGTGTGACCTATAACTGAAATTGTCTCTAGTTTTACGCGTAGAATGCCAATTGCCGTCCACTTAATTTAAATAACCCAAAACCGAATTAAAGAAATAATCGTATGCACGTTACGAAAAGAGAACGCTAAATACTATTTATAATGACTAAGAAGAAACGTGGAACTAATATAGTTAAAATTAGCACTCCATTGGATACACAATATCTCATATTTTTATCGCGGAATGATGGGACCGGTTTCTTGGGGATCAACTTGTTCCACACGAAATATGTCATAAACGGATGCACCATTACTTGAAACAGTAGATTTACCTAAAGCCATCACCTCTTAAAAAATAATTTCCAAAATAAGATTTTCTTAAATTTCATAATTCCTTTATAATTAATGTTTTTTTAAAACTAACAATATGAATAATTACAATAATAAATTTATTGTATTAACATAAATAATATTAAATTTCTTTCATATAATCTATTGAAAACTAATAGTTTTATGTATTTTAGTTATAAAACAATTCGATTTAAAAATATGTAAATATATGATAAATTTCATATCTATTACTTTATGAAATATTTAATTTCGTGCTCGGTGATCCTTAAAGCATATGAATTGCTTTCCGCTATGAAAATGATTATCAAGTGATAATATTAACGGATTCCAGACTACAACATTTCTAATGAGCTTTCGAAATAAGAGAATGAACGTTACGTTGTTATATCTACATTTAAAATGTGTATAATTATAGACATAATGTAAGCTTAATATTTATTTAATTATGGTTCTGTAAATCGGTAACGCGCATTGATTAAGTTTTATTATCGATGCGAAAGTAAATGTAAAATAGCTCGGACAAACTTTGAAACAATATGAAATATTTAAAATTGTGATACTTTCTTCTGTTAAACTGGAGAACTGCATTTGCAACTTTCTAATAATAAATTATTAGATGCATTTGCTCGTGATTCTATAATTAACTTGAGTAGGTCTTCCGGTCCGGCAATGTCCTCGTGACTCAACAATGTATTTTATCCATCGAAAATGTTTCGTATTATTAAAATGATTGTCAATTTTTGCAGGACTCTCCATTACATCGACGATTTTTACCTCTTCGCAACGCTGTCTTTCCTGATCAGAGGTCTCGAAGCATTAGGAGCTGCAGCATACGCAACTGCAGGATACGTCCTCGTCATTAACATTTTCCCAAATAATGGTGGAACTGTACGAGTGAGTATTTAGTTTATCGTTTTTTTTTTAAATTGAAAGTAAATATTTATGAATATTGTTTGTTGTTTTAGGGCATACTTGAAACGTTCGTTGGTTTAGGTATGAGCGCCGGTCCTGCCATTGGTGGATTTCTCTATGCGGTATGTATATTAAACTAATTACATTTCTCTTCAAAAATAATCAATATTTATTGTTGCTCCAAACAATCATTGTTGATTTATTTCACTGATATTCATAATGCATGTAGTTTTCTCTCTTTCTAAATTGTACAATATTGATGAAAGGTACAGGCATTAAAAACATAACATTTAAAAGCCTTGGGGAGTGATATCAATTATTCATAAGAATAAGCTCAAACCGGTTGAGTTTTGCACACTCTTATAAACAATCAGAACGATTTTATAATTGAAGCAGACGATACTCGCAAATCTTATATGTTTTTGATCAACTTTATTTTTTTTCTAGGAAGATTGGAGGCTTTGGGTTACCATTTTACGTAGTTGGTACGATAACATTATGCGTTGCACCGTTAAATGTCTTCTTGTTGCCATCAAGTAAAGGTAAATAAATAAATAAATTATGCAATTGTGCATCAATTTGCTTTGTGAATTGCTGAATGCGTGCGGATTATGACTTTGACTTTGGCTAAATGTGGCGAATAACATTTTCAGAATGTAACGTGAACATGAAGAGCGGCTCCTTTAGGAGCATACTTAAAATTCCGTCTGTGATTGTAACCTGCTTTATTATTGCCCTCGTCTCGACGACCTGGGGATTCCTCGATCCAACATTAGAACCGCATCTGAGACAGGTAATAAAAAAAAAGAAAGATACGCAAAATATATACAAATTAATATTCTTATAATAAAGATGTATAATAAAATTATTAATTTATTTGTTTTCAGTATAATTTAAGCGCCAGTAATATTGGTCTCATCTTTCTTCTTCTCTCAGGGATGTACGGAATATTCAGCCCTTTTTGGGGTTGGGTTTCCGATAAAGTTACAAATTATTGGTGCCTTATGACTTTTGGTTTGTTCATGACCAGTTTCAGCTTAGTATTATTGGGGCCTTCGCCAATTTTGCCATTCCTCAAAGAGTAAGTTACAAAGTCAAATGAAAATGTTTATATAATTTTCCATTAGTTTTTAATTTTTTCGGATTTTTTATGATGAAAATCTTTACTTTTTTCAGATCGATTTGGCTCCATATTATAGCATTATCAGCATTAGGTATTTTTGTTGCTATGGGTTTAATGCCAACATATCAAAGTATTTTGGATGGTGCTGTGTAAGTATTAAAATTATTATTTGCATATATTCACCAATTAAAAACACTTTTACATTAAGCTTATCATTCAACCGTTATCAGTTAATATGTTCATACGCTAACGAATCTGAGAAATCACTATACATATTGTATATATTTTGATATGCAGACTTTATAATTTAAAATTTTGAAATGTAACCGCTTCAATTTCCTGTATTTTGTTTAATGTTTGTTTAGCCGAGATGGAGGATTTTCGGATAACATAGGGACGCACAGTCTGGTTGCTGGTCTTTGGTCATGCATATACTCGTTGGGTGAGATGCTGGGTCCGGCAATCGGTGGAGCTCTTCTGCAGCAATGGGGCTTTCCAACAGCAGCCACGTGTCTTGCTGGTGCGAATTTGTTGGCGGCTATTTGCACGTCTATATTCTTCTACATGAAGAGAGTAAGGAGTAAAGTGGAAGCAGTGCCGAAGGATTCGGACTCGGATTTAGAAAAGACAAACAGTGCAACGACGATACCGCTGGAAAACGGCTGCAGCAACGGTGATATTTACACTATCGAGAATAACGGATCTGTTAAAATGTAATTGATATTAAATTATATATTTTTTATATTGTTAAAGAAATAAACGTTTATTTTTGAATAGCACTCGCTTTACTTCACCAAAGGAATCTCATATCTATAATGCACCCCGCAAATAACTTGTTTGCTTATATATAGTGGCTGTCCTTTTTTTATCTCCCAGACATAGTAATCTATATACCTGTTGTCCGATAAGTGCGTCGGTTTTCGATAAGGAACCTGAGGAAAGAAATATTTGTTTTTATCGATTCAATAAGTTCTCTGCTCGCATCGTCCTCACGTGCGCCTCAATACTTACACAGTTTAAGTAAGTAATTGTATAAATTACATGTGGTATCCAATTTTATTACAATTATCTTATAACGCAGGTAATTTCACTTATACTTAACATATATTTCTACGAGTAGAAATGATTAATGTATTAATAAAGAAATCGCTTGAAATGATATTCAGATTTTTAACCCCGTTATCTACGAAGAAACGGAAATATAAACAAAAGTTAATGTAAATATAAAATAGACTTCACTAAGTTAGAATTCTTTATCTATTGGTCGTTAAGTAATGAGGGATCAATGTGTAAGAGTAATCAGTCAGGTCTTAGCTCTCGAGCCGAGCGCGTTTCCAAAACAAATCTCACACAATTCGAGAGTGTATTTGATAAAGTCTTTAAATTTAAGTAAACAACATTTTACTGCGTCTCTCGATATCAATCCACAATTGAATTTTGTTCGCGAAATAATCGTGAAAGAAAAAATACGATGGACGATTTCAGTTTAACGGTACGGGTTTCAGACGAAGGAATGGAGAAAGATGAAAGGATACAAGCGAAATCGAGCCGATCCTCGTCTCCGGATTTCAGAACTCCACCGAGTAGCACGATCACAGCGAATAGCGAGAGCAGGATAATCACCTCTTCGATATCCACACCTTCATCGAATCCTTCCTACAGACCGATGCGAAGCAAATCAATGTCGAACATATGTGCAGAATCATATACAACTGGTGATATTAGAAGAATTAAAGAGAGATTACTAAGGTATTTATTTTCAATAAATAAAAAAAAACTTAAATTAATATTATTCTTTGCAATGTTATAGAATGAATTCTCACGTAGAACCGGCTGTGATAAAGAAGTTCTCCAGAGAGCAAAAATTGACTTTAGCTTCATTGGCTCTCGTAGATTTTATGAGCTTCTGTTCAATGTCGATTATGGCACCTTTTTTTCCAAGGGAAGCCGCGGAGAAGGGGCTTTCAGATACACTATCGGGTTTTGTTTTCAGCTTCTACGCTCTAGTGATGTTCCTAACATCTCCAATTTTTGGGAAATTGGTAAGCCCATCTGTATACTAGATTTATATTATTATTTGCACGTTATTATTGAAGACACCGAAACTAGGACCGAAATTTCTATTCCTTAGTGGAATGTTCACAGCCGGCGCTTGCAATTTGCTATTTGGGTAAAACGACTCAATAAATATATTAAGGATTAACGAAATTATATTGTTTTTAGAATGTTAGAATATATACATGATTATACATTATTTACAACATTTTGCTTAATTATAAGAGGATTGGAAGCTCTGGGAGCTAGTGCATTCTCAACTGCCAGTTACGTTTTCGTAATAAATACATTTCCAAATAACATCGGATCAGTTCTTGTAAGTTTTATTCGTAATGCTACTGTACTCAATAATACTAGTCATATACGCAATTATAATTCTATTAATTCGTTTTAGGGTATTTTGGAAACGTTCGTAGGATTAGGTATGAGCACGGGTCCTGCCATTGGTGGCATTCTGTATTCGGTATGTTTACTAATGCGTGAAAGAAACGTCCAAATATAGTTTAAAATGATATTTATAGTAACGTTTTCTAGGATAGCTAGGTGGATTTGATTTGCCATTCTTCGTTCTGGGGATTACAATGATTCTAATTATACCCATCAATGTTTGGTTACTACCTTCTCTAAAAGGTAACTAATCATTATAATTTTGATTTGTTTCTAATCTTAATATCTATTTTAGAATTTAATATGAACAATAATTCTATCTCAGTGCTAAAATTAATTAAATTGCCTGCAGTAATTATTACCGGTTTAATAGTTGTGGTAGCATCGAGCACTTGGGCCTTCCTGGATCCAACTTTGGAGCCTCACCTCAGACAAGCAAGTATTGATATCGATTGTATTTCACGAGAGACTCACAGTTGTGATTATTTCAGTTCGATTTGGCTCCTGAGAAAATTGGTTTAATATTCTTGCTCTTTTCCGCTTTATACGGAATTTCAAGTCCTATCTGGGGTTGGTTGGCCGACAAGGTCAACAATCATTGGTCGATGATGATATGCGGATTATTTTTTAGCACAATTGGTTTACTTTTACTAGGACCTACCCCTTATATAGCGTATCTTGAAAGGTATTTTCTATTAAATATTAATAATGTATAACAAAGTTTTAACATTTGTATCATTTTTAGCTCGCTCTGGTTAAACTTGGTAGCTCTCTCAATATTAGGAATCTCCGTAGCATTAGCTTTGCTACCCACTTTTCAAAGCGTTTTAACGAGCGCAGTGTAAGTAAACTAACTAAATAATCACTAAAGCAATAATTATTAATTTAAATTCATATTTTCAGCGAAGGAGGATGCACTCCTTCGATGCAAATGTATAGCGTCGTGGCTGGTACTTGGTCTTGCATGTATTCATTAGGCGAAGTTATCGGACCTTCCTTGGGAGGTTTTCTTCTCCAAAATTATGGTTTCCCAATTACCTCAACAATTATGGCCGGAATGACGTTCTCTTTAGTAAAAACAAACAACGAAATTAATTACGATTTTACTTACGTTTTAAATTTTCAGAGTCTTATTGGATTGGTTTATTTCTCTTTGAGATCACGTTTCGAATTGAAAAAGTCGACGGCCAGTGAAAGCGACTTCGGCGATTCCTGGAACGAAAGCAACGAGAAAACGCCGTTATTGGTATCTCTAACTGATACTGACCACCGCTTATATACAGAAGAGAAGGTTCAGTGCTACGAGCAAAGCAGAAGGATGGACAATCAAGTTGGATAATTCGCAACAATTATTTATACATTTTGAATAACTGCTGTTTTTATTTTCCAGAGCGGAGATATTGATTATGATCAAATCACTGATGTTAGAGGAACTGTGGCAATCACGGGTAAAGGAGCATGTGAAGTCTAATATGTAATGAAAGCCATGTGAATAATTATTTTTTTAATGCAATTAAATATTTATTACATTTTAATGTTAATTCTGTCGTATTATTATCGCAAAATTATCGTTTTTGTCAATGTACTGAATTATAAAGATATCATAAACATCTTAAGGTCTTTCTAGCCTTTGCGAATAGGATTTAATTGCATATATTTACGCATATTATAGTAATCATTAAAGGTTAAGACGCATTGCAAATATAAATTAAAATTCCGTTTGGATTATTGGAATTGTTAAACTAGAAATGTACGAGTGCTCTATTTATAGTCGACATGTTAATCGGCGATACATGAGAACTGAATATGTGGTTTATTGATTAAAGTTATTAATGTTAATTGATCACGTTACATATTAAAATTAATGAATTATAATGTTGGTTCTCAATCATACTTTTAATTACTATTTATTTATTAATATATTTAAATTAGAAGTAATAAATAATTTACATGATTCTAGAATCTAAATCATGATATATTACAAGATATATTACATATTAAAGAGATCTGTTGAAGACTGGTTATAAAAGAAGGTTATTATTGAATAACAATTCAGACAATTTTCCCGTATTAACTCATGCCCATTCATGCCATTATTTTATAAATCCTATACCATAGATAGGCTTATTTACGTAGCAAAACATGTTGATTTGGTTGCCTAGGTGCATCATCATCAAAAAATCACACTGCTGGTTGGCGTATTGCTATTGGTTCTAGCTGTGTGTCAATTTTGTTGTCTGTTTGTGACAGTCAAGATGGACAAAGTTTGATTGTTTTTATCGATATCATAGTAATATGCACTCCAATTAGTCTAAAGAGGAAACTTGTGGATCTCGAAATAGTCTTGCACCGAGTTGTCGAATTGCTAAAACCTACAAGTACGTACTTTTATTAAAACATCGCTTTTGAATAATTCTTTGTGAAGGTTATGGCAGTTGTGCGAAACACTCTTTCAGCCGCACAAAATATAAATAACGCGATTTTTCACACCTGAAATAGGTGCTACATATGAAATATGCTGTAAAATTTGACATTGAAATAAATCTAAATATACATTTTCAAATTGCCAAAATTTACTTTGTTTTCTGTAATTTCAGGATGAAGGTTCATTTATGGATATTACTGCTAGTCTCATTACTACTTACTCCAAATGTTTCATCAAAATCTAAAAAAACGAAATCAGTTACCACCTTGTTGGAGGCCAAATGGGCTGCAAGTCCTCTAGTATTAGAAGTTGCTGAGTATTTGGCTGATGAAAATGTAAATTTCTATTGGGATTTCATAGATTCTCTATGTGGAATGGATGAGCCTTTAAATGAAATATATAATGATAAAGAAAAGTATGATAAAATAATGGAGCATGCTTCAAAGTTAGTAACTGCTCAGCAGTTGTCTGTACTCAAACTTGGCCTGTCTTTACATATTTATTCTCCGAAAGTGGAGATGTTTGCTCAAATGGCAAGGGAGAGAAATTTATTGGATTGTCCTGCTGTGGCTGATGTCAATGGTGAATTAATTTGTGATGCTAATAAACTGAAATCTGCAATTGCCAAGGTATATATGATTCTTATTTAGAGTTTATAATTTTATTAATGTATTACTCTCAGGTTCATTCAGAGAAAACCATTCAATTATTCCAAGTTGATACACATTATCCAGGCTCTGAGAACAGAAGTGTTGCTGTAGTTTTATATGCAGAACTAGGCACCAAAGATTTTGCTAATTTCCATCAAGTATTAAAACAAGAGGCACAAGCTGGAAATATTGATTATGTTGTCAGGCATTTAGTTAAAGTAAGTATAAATTACTGTACAATTGCAACAGATGAAGTCAATATTACGTAATTACAGGAACCTTCTGACCGTCGATTAAGATTGTCTGGGTATGGAGTTGAACTCCAAATGAAATCCACTGAATATAAAGTTCAAGATGATTCAAACGTCCAAGATAAAGATAAATCTGCTGAAGATGTATCTCAGGAGGAGGATGATGTTGAACTTGAGGGATTCAATTTTGGAAAATTGAAGACGTTATTCCCTGACCATAAGAAAGATTTGGAAAAATTCAAACAATATTTGGAAGAAACTTCAAATGAAATGGCACCTTTGAAAGTCTGGCAATTCCAAGAATTGAGTTTGCAAGCAGCTGAAAGAATCATGTCTGCTCCTAAAGAAGAAGCCCTAAAGGTATTCACGAACATCGCGCAGAATTTCCCTATGCAAGCTAAAGGATTAGTTAAAACTGTCGTTCGGGAAGAACTTAAAAAGGAGATGAGAAGAAATCAGGATATCTTCATGGGATCGCTCAATCTGCAATCATCCGATACCGCTCTTTTCATCAACGGACTTTATTATGACGTGGATTTGGTGGATGTGTATGGAATTTTGGATGTTGTTAGACAAGAACTGCGAACGATGGAGGGATTGCACTCTATAGGAGTAGGAAACAAAAGATTATCAAATCTATTATCTTTAGATTTCACCGAATCTAATAGCGGACAGGATTTTGCAATGGACATTCGAGATTCAGCTATTAACTGGGTCAACGATATTGAAACAGATACTAAATACGGCAGGTGGTCAAGGAGTTTGATGGATTTCCTGAGGCCAACGTTCCCTGGAATGCTTCGTCAAGTCAGGAGGAACTTATTCAATTTAGTTTTATTAATTGATCCAGTTGATAGAGATTCCAGAACTTTATTGAAATTTGCTGAATCTTTTGTTGTTCATACTGCTCCTTTGCGTGTTGGTATTGTCTTAGCGGCACCGTCTTCTACGACTTTGACAGGATTAGAAGATCCTGCTGTTGCGATGGTCTGCGCCTTTAATTACGTTTCGCAAAAGAAAGATTCTGCAGCAGCTCTAAGTTTCTTGACATCCGTAAGTTACATTTATATGAACTATAAACACATACGAATGATTGTAATCAGGTTTTAGGATCGGTAAAAGATGGGTCTAAAGTGACTGTAGCTGATGTTAAGGAACAATTGAGAAAGAAATATAGTGCTGATATCGAAGATGTTCTGGGAGAAGATTCCGATTACGATTTCGGAAGACAGCTTTCTGAAGATTTCATTAGACGCTCAGGTTTACATAATTTGCCACAAGCCATGATCAACGGCATTCCTTTACCTTCAAACCAGTTGAATGCCGATGAATTTGAAGAGGCTGTTTTAACAGAAGTTATGTCCCAAACGCCAAATTTCCAGAAGGCCATATATCGCGGAAAACTGCAGGATAAGGATGATGTACTTGAATATATCATGAATCAACCTAACGTTATGCCAAGATTGAACGAAAGGATTCTTAGTAAAGATAATGTTGTTTATTTGGATATGACTGGGAAGGCTGCAAGTACAACAAATATTCCTGAATTGCTCAAATTATCACCAAGGGAAATGTCTGCCACTGCTTTGGAAAATTTGAATTATTTCCGTTTGATACGCAAAAGTGATAAGTATTATTCAATGACTTATTGGATCGTCGGTGATTTGAATTGCAAACGCAGTCGAGATTTATTGTTGGCTGCACTCGAGCATATGGTACGTATTTATTCCTACACTATTTATATTAAAGTTATAAACTATTTTATTGTAGAAATCTTCCGGTGATTCGAGAGTAGCTTTCTTGCCGAATGTGAACGGCGATGAAGATAATAAAATTAATAAAGTCGTCTTAGCCGCATTGGAATTACCACCAGAAAAAGCGTTGAACTATGTTATTTCTCTATTGAAAAATGGAGACATCGAAAGTGGAAAATACGATATTCCTGTAAATACTGTTACATATGTTGTAAATCAATTAATAACGTGTATTTTGTAGGCCGAACTATCAGCTAAAATTGAATCTCAAGAACTGTCACTTAAAATGTTACGTGTTTATGCTCAGAGAGTATTAAACTTTAACGTTGGCTCTCGAGGTGTTGTAGCTAACAGCCGAGTTTTGGGTCCTTTGGATGAAAAGGAAGAGTTTAGCATTGAAGATTTCGGTTTACTCGAGCAGTATAGTTCAGCAACATACATCGATAAACTTCAGCAAGCTTTGGAAAAGACCAAAGAGGATTACGGAGGTAATGTGTATTTTTCTACAATTTGAATGCATCTAACATATGATTTACAGAAGTATCAAGTGATTCTTTCATGAAAATGGTAAGTTTGCTCGTGTCTCGTCCGCAATCAAAATCAAGATTTGAAATTGCTTCCGAAAATGACGAATATTCAGTGATTAAAATACCAGCGGTAGAACCAGAAAAGGCCGCTTTTGATATTGTGGCTGTTGTTGATCCGGTATCGAGAGGCGCTCAAAAGATAGGTCCAATTCTGCAGGTTTTACAAGAAGTTTTAAATTGTAATATTAAGTTGTTCTTGAACAGCGTTGAAAAGAACAGCGATATGCCAGTTAAAAGGTTTTGTTAAGATATTTTGGTTGTGATTCATAATTTACTTATTTTATCCAATTGTAGTTTCTACCGATTCGTATTGGAATCTGAAGTACAATTTGGCGAAGATGGTAAACAAATAGCAGGGCCAATAGCGAAGTTTAATAACATGCCGCAATCACCTCTACTTACGCAAAATATCCATGTTCCTGAAAATTGGCTTGTTGAAGTTGTTCGATCGGTTTACGATTTGGATAATATTCGTTTGGAAAATGTTGATAACAATGTCCACAGCGAATACGAATTAGAACATTTGTTAGTTGAAGGACATTGTTTTGAAGCAACTACACTCAGTCCACCTAGAGGTCTCCAAATAACTTTGGGCAGCGAGAGTAAGCCTGTTATAGTTGACACTATAGTGATGGCTAATTTAGGTTATTTCCAACTGAAGGCAAACCCTGGTGCTTGGATATTGCGCTTGAGACAAGGTAGAAGTGCAGATATATACGATATTGCTAGGTAATTACAGAACACTGACAACATGACACTAAGCATAATAATATGTAAATGTTATAGTCACGAAGGAAGCGACACCCCACCGAATTCCAAAGATATCAAAGTTGTAATAAGCTCGTTGAGATCGAACATTGTTAAGTTGAAAGTTTCCAAAAAACCTGATAAATTATCTATGGATTTACTCTCCGAAGATGATTCAAATTCCGGCATTTGGAATTCGATTACAAGGTGAGATGATTAAAATAATGTTATTCTCCAAATTTTACATCTTTTTATTTTAGTTCATTCACTGGATCTGAAGATGACTCTGAAGAGAAGTTAAATATATTCTCTCTAGCTTCAGGGCATTTATATGAAAGATTCTTGCGCATTATGATGTTATCCGTTTTGAAAAATACCAAAACCCCAGTGAAATTTTGGTTTTTGAAGAACTATTTGTCTCCTCAAGTTAAGGATTTCCTTCCTTACATGGCTAAAGAATATGGTTTCGAATATGAACTCGTCCAATATAAATGGCCTAGGTGGTTGCATCAACAAACCGAGAAACAACGAATCATCTGGGGATACAAGATCTTATTCCTTGACGTGCTTTTCCCATTGGATGTTAAGAAAATTATCTTTGTCGATGCTGATCAAGTAATAATGATCCATAATAAGTTATAATTAATCGATTAATATTGATATTATTAGGTTGTAAGAGCTGATATGCGTGAGTTGCAACAATTGGATTTGGGTGGTGCTCCTTACGGTTACACTCCGTTCTGCGAATCACGACGTGAGATGGAAGGTTTCCGGTTCTGGAAGCAAGGTTATTGGAGGAACCATCTTCAAGGTCGTCGTTACCACATTTCTGCACTTTACGTAGTCGATCTTAAAAGGTTCAGGAGAATTGCTGCCGGCGACCGGCTGCGTGGTCAATACCAAGCGCTCAGTCAAGACCCTAATAGTTTATCCAATCTGGATCAAGATTTACCAAACAACATGATCCATCAAGTAGCCATCAAATCATTACCACAAGAGTGGCTCTGGTGCGAGACGTGGTGTGATGATGATTCTAAACGCCAAGCGAAGACTATTGACTTGGTAAAAATATTAAAAAAAAAATAATTAACAGTATATTTACTAATGTTGTTTTAGTGTAATAATCCAATGACCAAGGAAGCCAAATTAACAGCCGCTGTGCGGATTTTGCCTGAATGGAAGGGTTACGATGAGGAGATTAGAAAATTGCAAGAGAAAATCGATAAAGGCATTTTGGATACAGATCCTGCTGTTGAACAGGATATAGAGAAAAGTGAGTTTTAATTAATAACAATTTGTTTCTTTAATTACTAACGTGTTCTTCTTGCAGAATCGACTGATATACATACAGAATTATGATGAGGTTAATGATTCGTTTTCTTTTTTTTTAGTTTAATGTGTACAGTTTATCAACAATCGGGTGTTTAAGAATATATAAATCCTCTAATAAACAAACATCTTGAATGGATTGTTGTTACCATGATTTCTTCTTTTATTTAAACCTGATATCCTTGTTTATTTACAGTTTTAGTTTTTAATACAACCAAATATTTGAAGTATGTTCATTTATCGAAATAATTTAAGATTTAAATTTTATACATTTTAGTTATTTGAATGTATTTTGTATAATAATATGAATCAATTTGTGATGTTGGGGAGAGTCTTATATAATAAAACGCCAACAATATTATCAATATTATTAAGCATTTAATACACGTATTTGTACATATTATGTTTCAATCAATCGCATCATATTTAAATTGATCATTTGGTTTATACAGATAGATGAAAGCTTTAAATACGTTGCTTAACTAGCGAATAATGTAATTAATAGAAATATTTGAAATGCATTAAAATACGATAATAGATACATTTAATATGAAATAAGTTAATATATACATACAAACTTTATCAATATAGGAGTATGTACATAGTGTTGAAATGCATACGAGAAAAGTTTAAAGCTGAGAACGAAGAACTAATTTATCGCACCATGATTCTAATAAATATGTATGGCATTTCCCCAGGTCGAACTGCAGTATTTTACTCTGCAGAGAAACAGAAATGAGCTTTACGATGAATTTTTAACTGCATTCGTGCGTTTGGGTGAGCGTTCTGCAAGTTTTGCATTTTACATAACAGCAATAGTAGTACTTGCATTGGCACCGCTCGATTTTCTCCTCGACAACGGTCCTGTATCCTCGTCCGCAACAGAGTTGTCTGCAGCTGTCCGTGCCATTGGACGTCACATTGCACTTCCTAAAATAATTATCATTTTACAAGAAGCCAATTCGAGTAAGACAAAATAAATAAATAAAGCAAGAAAATGCGAAGAGAAATCTTAAAGGGCCGCTCGAATCTGAACTCGAATAATGTCTTTTCTTGTGCCAGATTCCGAGCAATTACGCATCGTTTAAACCATCCCGGAATTCTGTTGCTATGTCTCTCACCTGCCGACCGTTCCCAAACTGCCCAACTTGTCGTCCCTCGTGCAGTAATCCGGAGACTTCGTTAAATAAACAAACTGATCGGAGACGGATCTGCGACCTGGGACCTCCGGCACGTCGTTCTCCACTATCATGTACCCCTTCTGTATCTCCTTTGCATTCGTGAACTTTCTCAGCAACCTTTGTCCGATCTCCTTCATCGCGGGTATACCCCGCCAACATGTTTTTATGCTGCATGAACCCGAAACCCCGTGGCATTTACATTGAGTTATCAAACTTTCGGAAACGACCTGAAATCGAAACATCTTATTAAAAAGAAACATCTATTATTTTATTTATTGTAATTACTTTGCGACCAATTTTGTTGTTGTGCAGATTCACTGCTGCTATGTAATTCTTCATCGCACCATCAGTTTTATCTGGTGCTTTCTTCGTGTTGTGTTTTTCGACGGCGTCGACGAATCGTTTCGCAAAGTCTGTACCCCATTTCACGTTATCGCCGCAACCGCCCCATTTAAAATTGCCCATTGGGGGATCCTTTGGGGGACTCGAACAGGCGCAATGGTATAAACCTCCATTGGCGCAAGCCCTTGCCATGCTGAATGTTAAAGCTGCCGAGCTGATAGCGTACACGAAAGCTTGCTCTCGTGTTGCTAAAAAAAATATATTCGATTGGTTAGACGGATTATCTGTTAACATTTGTCTGAATTTTCAAAATATTAAATAATGCTAAAGAGGGTGGAAATACCCTTATGTTATTAACTTGTTACAAGATTCCCTATTTTTTAATATAAATAATATATTTCAAAAAAAAGTCGCACCTAAATATTCTTATCCTTCTTAGAAAAATAAATAATATCGATATTTTTTTAATATGAGAAAATTAATTCCATGAAAATATTATATGATTGTTTTGATTTTGAAGTAATTTTCAATGATATTAAAAAAAGAAAAAGGTTTTTATGTATGATTTCTTAAAAAAAAGTATAGAATATACAGTCTTTCAGCCCTTAAACCATATATTATGTATTTTCAATAAACTTGACGATAAGTTATGAAAGTAATAAAACAAATTTAAAAATAATTAAAAAGATAATTATTGTATGAGAAAGTAAAGTGAATATCTGTAAGTTCTGTATTAAATAATAATTATTGCTTAACTTATTATTTAATTTTCTCGTGAGGAAAGATAATTATTAGCAAATCATTTTTTTTGTGAAGAACTACATTCCGAACTGTAATTTCGGAATACGCTATTGTCTCGTTGTATTTTCTAATTTACTACCTCTTAGTAGATCTGGAGTTAATGAGGGGGCGGTGTCGATGCTGGAGCAGTTCCACCTACGATCCTCGAAGATCACCTTGCAGGTCTCCGATGCCATCTGGGCGGCACTCTGAACGTACGGCATAGTCTCCAAAGAATTTCTGCAGAGTTTGGTCTGCAATTTGGCAAAGCCATACCTTCTCCTTGCCACGGAACAAGGAGACTTGACGCCGGATCTGATGCCGCGTCCGCCGCTATTTTCCAGCGAATTCCAAGCGAGATGGGACCGTTGCAAGGACCTGAAAGAAATCGCGTGAAGTAAAGGTTAATAAGCGCGTGTGATATTATCAGGTATACGGGGGCGCCCTCCTAATTACAGGTGTAGCAGACGATTATTAGGTGCCAGTCTGACGCCAGGATTCCTTTTTTTAAATAGACTCTCCTTTTATTATTTATTGTTTCACCTTAAACACACCCCTCAGCTGTGTACGAACGCAACACAAAAAAAATATATAATCTATATATATATACGAAGAAGGAGGAGGAAATGCATAATTCATTTAATTAAACCCGGGAAAGTGTAGTGAGATAATGCTTCGATTAAGTTAATGAAGTGAAAAGGAAATTGGAAAATTGATACGACGTGTGCGAGACTGGTTTCCTTATTTTTCTCATTCGGGGCTCAGCTACGTGATGTACATTCTTATGCGGTACATTCTTATCACTGATCCGATTGCTGCCCGATCCGGACGATCGCATAATGGAATCGTTTTATTTTCTCCTCCTCCTTTTTCTTTCCTTCATTTATTTTCATTGGATACCATTTTTCCTACGGTATTCAAGAGCCGGATTCTTGCTTTCCCCTATTTTTATTGCGACAACAATAAAACAATTAAACGATTGCGGTAAATGACAGTAAAATATATTATTTTTACACTCGAAGATGAAGCGAGAGGATACAAAAAAAGTAACACCTAGTAGAACCGCTCAGCATCGGACAGGTATAATAAAGTTCCCGGCTACTCCCATACGACAATAGTACCTTAATCTGCAGCCTTGCACCCCGTGTCTAATTTACGTTCATAATCTCGTAATATATAAATGAATCTAGAAACTATTTATCAAGTGTACAGCAACAATCCTTATTTACATCGCCTTTATTCCCCATTAAATACGTCACTTTCAAATTTAAACATAAGTTTAAACCTTGTTAAATTTCTTGTATAAATAATAATTCCAATTGGCCATAAATACCATTGAAATATTATTCCTTTCAATATAATCTTTATGAAAAAAGATTAAAATACTGGCAAATTTCGATTATTACCTTTTATTACATTTATAATTAAATTATATTCCAACTAATTGGATACAATTATGTAATTTTATTTAAATATACATTTAAATAAAATTAAAACGTATACGAATAACAAAATATTACTAAAGTAGAAAAACTAATAATTATTTATTTACTTATTCAATTATTTGTAATATTATATAATAGTCTCCAACACAAAATAAAAAAATTGTAAATAGTTGTCTTACTTTTTTTTTGTTTATATTGATACTAATACTAATATTATTAATTAACTATTAACATTAAATAAATAAATTTAAAAAAATACTTACAGCCAACGAATTGCATACGCCGAGTACAAAATATTCAATATAATTAGGAAATTAATAAATATTTTGAAGTCCATTTGAATACCGTAATGTTTTTATTTTACTATTTCTCTCTTTTGTTAAGATTGAACTTATCCGAACCTTCAAATATTTTTGCAAAGTATTACATCACATCTTCAATTGGGTTTTCTTTTTTTGTTGTTGTTTGTTTTCAGGACCTTGTGGTCAGTGCCAGAGTTGTACGCGGACTGTGGATGAAGTTTTTTCAGTGATCTCTGAGCTCTGGGTAAATAAGAACGCGCGCGCGGTTTTGTATTCCATCTGGTTCTTTCAGAGAATTCATTTATCTTAAGAACGTATCCTTCTTATGTACTAATTAAAGCAGTTTTTGCAAGTAAAAATGTATGGAATTATGTTTAAATGAAAAATACTTAATATGAAATAATTTATGATTTTCATAAATTCAAAATTTTAAGTCAATAATATTCTCAATAATTCTTTATGTTTATTTGTTTTCAATGGATAGTATAATATAGTAGAATAATATAAAATGTTATTGTAGAAATTATAATAATATCGGGCTTGCGATATAGACCCAAAATTAGTTTATGTTATTAACAATAAATAACAACAATTAATAATCTTATTAAGTTTTAGATTGTCGGGATTTCGATATAGTCGAGATTTTGATTGTCGGGATTATGGTAGTCGGGATTTCGATATAGATTTCGAACGACGAGATTTCAATACACTCGGGGTTTCGAAAGTCGGGATTTCGAACATCGGGATTTCGGTTGTCGGGCTTGCGATTGCCACCGGTTTTGCTGCATATTGACAAATAAATATTATTATTAATAATCTTTTTCGTTGTTGTTAAAGAATGAATTCTGTTAAAATATATTTAATTTATATTTATTTAAGAGTTAGAAGAAAATTATATTAACAGGTTATGTTAACTTTCTTTGTTATTATATTAACAAAAAAAGAAAGTTTAAATTAAATAAAAATTTAAAAGTTATACTTTTGATTATACAATTAAAATATATTATAAACATATATAATACAATTGGTAAATACAAAAATTGTTAAAATTCCATGAGCCACTAGGTATATATTTGAACTGTTAGGGATATTTGAGACTCGTAGTGTTGGCTAACCTGCGAATACAATTTCATAATTAAAGAAGTATTTTGACAGTTACAGTCGAAAAACAAATGAATTATATAAATATTTATTATATGAAATAACTATGGCAACAACCAGAATTCCTGAGCAAAAAGTTATACTCTGCGGTGAATATGGTGTCGGGAAGAGTTCGATCTTTCGACGATTCGCAAACAATACTTTCGTAACTCGCAGTGACAGGCAGTCTACTTTAGGTTTAGATCACTACGATAAAATTTACAAAGTCGAAAATAAAAATATTAAGGTGACTTTGCAAAACTGTCCTTCCTTTTAAGATATAAACACATTTATGTTTCAGCTTCAATTATGGGATACTGGTGGCATGGAGAGGGTTGCTTCCATAACATCAAGCTATTACAAGTTTGCTGAAGCTGCAATTTTAGTCTTCTCCTTAGATAATCCAGCTTCATTCCATGTACTCTCACAGCATTTATTAGATATTGTCACATACGCTGAGAATGCGAAAATTTTTCTATGTGGGAACAAAGAGGATTTGGTGAATAATGTCTCACAAGTCTCTGAATCTGAAATTGAATCTTTTTGGTACAATTTGCTATACATATGCATCACTTTCTTTTTACCATATTCTACATTTTAGTGAACAGTGCCATAATTTAATCAACACAACATATAAAACATCTTGTAAAACTGGTGTGGGAATTGATGAAATGTTCGAAGACATTGCATATCAGCTGGTTCAATCAAACAGATCAAGAATTGAGTTGCAGTCAATGGACAGTTCAAGTTTCAAAATTGTTGGGCCTGCAGAGAATTTCGATGATGATTCCTGCCTTTGCTGAGGACATTTCCGCCATTTTAATATGGATCACATTCATTTACAATATAATCTAGTCTGTAGCTTATAAGCTTTTGTTACATAAACGATCCATGACGTCCTGAAAACTGTGATTGTTTTCTATCCACGATGATAAGAAATGAACAAAATTCCGAAGTTCTAAAACGGAAATTATTTAAAAAATATAATTAACTTGCTTTTTGAAAACAATAATCATATTTTTTTGTTGTGCCAAAGTGTTTTGTTTGTTTACAAATAAATTTATAAAAATGTATATACTTTTAATTTTTTGTTTATTGCAACTATACACTAATATATACACTTTTATATTTAATTGCTATTATCTGTTAAGAAGTATGTAAAAGTCAATCTTGTATCTTTGCTATTAAATAATAAATTTTTCTATAGTTCAATCAAACGTTAAGCATGTATATTTTAAGGAATAAGCATTTCAGTTAATGTCAATGTAAGAAGATGAGTTAAAGCTCATTAAAATTTTATCTTGATTTGGATATAATTTCAGGACTGAAAAGTTTATAGAGTATGCAAAACAGTGGAATGTGATGGTACGGATGGATTTACAATGGAGACTAGAAATTGGTTCAGAAAAGAGTGTGTAGAGGTGAGTTAGCGGCGAGCTGAGTAACCGTGTCCCAGTTGTTGAGGCAAGAGATGAGTATCTTATGCAACCCAAAGCAGGTCACATGTGCATCAGAAAGAGGAGATACTTAATCCTTAGTCCAAGAACACTTTCATTCGATTCCTATTTATAGTTATTGCTACCATTTAAATACCTGCCCACGCATTTTACCAACAATGCAAAGGCATTCTTTCACCTGAACTCATCAATTGCGCTACCTGCTTCTCCTATTTTCTATTCGCAATTTATTCCTGCTGCGCTTCTCTTTTTTTCTCTCGTCCTCTTCTGCTTACACGCGAACATCTCTCGAACGATGCGTGTTGATTATCTACGAGATAGAGCTTCAATTGGTGATTTATGCCTTTGAGATGATATTAATCCGGGAGAACCGTATATGTAGATGAGGAAGCCACGACGCGAGAATTTACAAGACGCTTCCTATTATATAAATTTACTTGCATAATTATTCAATCCGGGATCGCGATTCGAGGAGTGATCGATTCAAATCGAATTACTCTATGCTAATTAATTAATTATTAATGTTTCCTACTGCCTATGAACACGGCATCACGCGATCTTTCAATTAACTCCATTTTAAGTTACAAAACTCATTACTGCAGAATAATGCTTTTGTTTTCAAGTTTTAGTGCGTTATTTCATGCAATATTCAAGATCATAATTACTAAAAGTAAAAATAATCTTAACAATTTCATAAAGATAGATCATTTTATTTGGATTAATACAGTTAATTCACTATTTTAAATGAAATTAAAGTTTAGAAAATCCATATTGCTGAAATAAATTGGAGAACGATGAGTATTCCAACAAGTATAAGTATAAAAAAAATATATCCATGAGTGTTTACATTCCAACTGGTATGGAGATAATGGCATTTATTGAAAACTAATCTTTTTTGATGACTTTGTATGGTTCGAACGAGTTTGCCCGTATCGGTTTTTCTTTTCAGGTTTGCACTTTGATAAAGCTGTTGCAATTTCAGTAATTACACTCACGGCCGACTGACGCGATGATGCAAAGTAATTAGAATTAAGCCTAATTAAATGAAAAATAATATATTATTTTTTTCCTATTGAAGCCACATTTTTCTTTCCTTAAAGAAAGCCGACGCGTTGTGCAATGCGCTTCTTTATGCCTTTATATTATTCATCTATTATTATTACAAAACGATCGTAGCAGATTTAAAGACCATAAAATATGAATTACAACTTGCAGATGTAACCGTTACTTGATCGAATTTATTCAATTATCACAGTGTAATAAATAAATGCTGGTATAAATTTACTTTGGACACTTATAATGATTAACTTTATAAGAAGCCGACTGGACTAACATTACTCACTCCTACTATTGCGTTAATTAAGCTATTACCGTTTGATTTTATGCTTTATTTCGAGATTACCTTTTTCAAATGCGAACGCCGCATCGAGAAGCTAATTGTACGAATTGCATCGTTTTTCGATCTAATTCAGTCGAACTGGTAAATATCAAACGGTTTCTGTCGTTTAGCAACCAACCAACAATAGAAGAAGCATTTGCTTCAAAGATGTTGGATATCCCTTTAGCATGCTCAGGTGCGGCCCGACATACACATATTTATTTCCCCACAATCTAATTTATTTTTATCCTCTTCAACGTTTAAAATATTTTCGCAGAGCTTCGACGAGATTTACGGCTCTCATAATTTACACAGTACTTTGTTAATTACGAAGTTTCTAATTACGTGACGTTTTTCTATACATTTATATATATTTTTTTTCTAATTGAGAAATAATAAAAAAACATATTGATGCGTTTGTAGAATTTGCAAAAATTTACTTTCACTTCGTCCGGTGAATCTATCCATCAATCAATCAACTACTGATTCACCTAAGAGCGGTTGTTTTTTTACTATTTGTTTGCGACGATTGATTAATGTTTGGAGGTCGCGTGGATCCGCAATTGCAGAGCAACCTTATGGCACATGTATAATTCCATTTTTTTCTTCTTCCACACTCGATCCTTGTTGGTCTTTTTTTTTGTTGTACTTACATTCTTGGACTGCTCATCGCAAGGACTCTGGGGACATTGCGAAAATTGCTGAGGATCTTGATTTATTTCAGTTTTATTTTCTCCTTAGTTAGCACATCATCAATATTAATTAGATTCCAATACGGCGCTTACATAAATCAAACTCAATCAATGATGGTAGATATTCCATTTAACAGGTACGGCAGATTGTTAACATGACTGCTACAATTTACTACCAATTTTAAAGCATCTTCATTACACATTCTATTTTTTTTTACAATTCCAAAGAAGCTGTTGTTAGTAATTCATATATTTAGTCATATTATCACTTATTGACTAATTATAGTCTAATTTTTTTAGTATTTCTTATTAAATTTATCAAATTAGCTAAATTTAATTATAATGAAATATTGTTAAACAAAATAAATTAAAAATGTAAACTATTAAAAATGTAAACTATACGTTTTTATCTGTAATTATTTATGTAATTTTTATCTGTTGTATTGTATTAATTTGTGATTGTTTCTAATAAATACTTTTCTGAATTTTATGCTGTTTAGTCTAATAATATACATCAAATTAATTAATAAGTGTATTAACACATTATCGATATTATAAATAACTTTTAATAATGTATAAAATAGGGCTGAAAGACATATGGTCAGCAGCCCTTTACAACAATTCAATTTAATTTGATTTTTCTTATGTTATTTTGTTAAGTTTGTATTATAGTTGTTGCAATAATAATTATTATTGTATAAAACATTAAAATGAAAATGCAAGTTATTTTGAAATTGAAGTTTCTGTCGAGTTTAAACACTTTCGAAAGACAATTGAATGCAAATAGATTTTTTTTTTGGTTTCGTTTCCTGATTGTTATGTACAAGAACTACGTAAATCGTAGTCAATGACAATTAGTAGTTTGCGTTCAGTCGTGATGCTTCGCTTTTGCACGCCTAAATAAGGTTAGCCCACGCTTATTTAGGTTGAGCACATCGACTATTCCTAATTCCCAGCAATTCTTATTTTCTGTTTTATCTAAATATTTCTTAATCCTAATAATAATACTAATAATAATAATTTTAGTTGTTTGTCTAAGAATGATATATTTTTAATTACTAAATTATTTTTTAATTATAGTTAGTTAAATATTTGCAATTAGGACGAAAAGATCTATAGTCACCAGCTCTTTTTAATGGTTAGCTATAGAATATTTTCATTCAGAACAATAATAAATGAAGGTTAATTACTGCAGAGGGTTATTGACGATAGGTTTTTCTTTCCAATTAATATTGATTTATTTATATAGAATTGTTACAATTATTTTATATTAAATATGATTTTTTCAATGTTTCTTCTTTGTTAAACTTATGAGTTATTGTTTGAATCTTTAATAATTGGTTTTATCATTGTTTTATAGCATATATTTATTTTTATAGGTTTTAATAAATTCTTTGATTCATTTAATGTTTTCATTGATTTACTTAATAATTAATGGTGTTAATGAGGTATTGTTACCAAATATTTATTTTATTCAAACATAATTTAATAAAGTATTAAAAACTATAAAGCAAAGTATTTTAAATAAATGTAAGAAATAATTATTAATAATATTTACAAAAAAAATACCTTATGTTCTTGTAGAAATATCATGTATATGTAGTTAGCATTTACAATAAGAACGTTAGAAAATGGGATCAAGAGAATACCTTCTAAAGTAATTTAAATTTCAATATAGGATCAGTGAAGTATATGGATATCTTGATCAATATTGTATTTACAGAACTATTTCAAGACAATAGTCTCGTTGACACGTATAGCATTTTGTTCGAATTTACGAGTGACGTTTCGAAACGGCTCATAACATCTCCGATTGTCGATTTATGCCAAGCAAAACTCTTGTCTGCATTCCATTAAGCTGCATTACAAAATAAACTAAACGAGACACTAATCTTCTTGGGGAAAAGCAAAATGATGAAAAGAGAAAGAGTGAGATGGGAAGAAATAAATAAAAAAATAAGAGTTCAATGAGCAAATAACCGAAATTCATGGGTCCAGAGAATCGCTTTGCAAATGCTATTGTATGAAGAAAGGGAACATTTCATGCGAGTGTCGTCCTCTTTCATGATGAGGATGATCTCGTTCGATGTGTTCTGATTAATTGTAGTGGGATTGCGATTGGTGATCCGATTTTCAACTCTGTGTATATATAAGATGCTGTGGTGGATGTTTTCATCACAGTGTTCTTAAACGGTTTCAGTGAAACAACACAAACAGTTTCATTCAGTACACATTTGTTTATATATATATATTTATTTAATTCGTCGAAGCGAAAGTACAAAAATGCGATTGGTAAGTAAAAAAAACCCTCTTTCGGTATTTTTATATAAAGAAGACCCAATTTATCATTTACGTAATGCGGTCAATGGGAATTATATTTAAATTTCTTTTGTTGCAACGAAAAGTTTCCCATATTTAACTAAAGTTTAGAGAAAATAATCATTAGTATACATCTATTTTTTATGTAAAGAAGATTCAATTTATCATTTACGCAATGCGGTTTATTATATTTAATTTTCATTTGGTGCAACGAAAAGTTTTCCATGTTTAATTAATGTTTAAAGAAGAAATCATGAGTATACACCAAATAATGATATTATTATTTTTGTTTCATTGGATTTCGTATGTAATGTATAAGGAAATGGAACTGTCGGTGAGCGTGAGTTGTTTACTCTCGTCGTATTTTCTAAACGGGTTTGTACGCAATTCGCGTCTATTCCTTAATCAATTAAAAGTTTAACAATTTAGAGAACTTATAAGGATCGAAGAAGCATCACTTGCACGCAGCATCTTAATTTATTGGGGTTAGTTTCATAAATAAGTACTTTCCTTTGCGTAACAGAATATCTTAGATTCTTTTCGTTTAAAACAAACTTAACTATTTTATACAATTTCTAATATTTTACTCGTCTTTTCACATTTTTACTATAATAAATGTTATGTTCTTGTTTTTAAATGACAAATATTATTCTAATATATATATTTAATAACGGTCTAATTTAGTAAAATTCTATAGAATTCAATAAGAGAGAAAAAAAAATGGTTTAGTTACATGCTCGTAACTTTAACTCATAAAATAATTAATTACATTAATTACTATATCTAATGGTAAGAGCGAAATAAATATTATTTAACTATTTTAATAAAAATTCACATACATACAAAGAGCAATTTTTATTATATATTATATTTTATTATATCCTGTTACATTGCTTATATATCTTGATAAAATTAATGAACTTGGGAGGAAAAACTATGATTAAGAGCTATCATCAAAAAAAATATCAACTAAAGATTGTTAAATTAAAGAACTTATGAATTTATTTGGAAAAATGTATCATTTCCTTTATAGTAAATAAAGTGTTTGAAGTTATTTAAAAGACAAAAACTAAAACATACTGTGTTTTCATCTAAAGGAGTTTTATTGTTACGTCTACTGTGATTTTTGTTCTTAAGTAATTTTGCTTACTTTTTACTTTTTTTCAGTTGATTATCGCTACTATTTTCGGAGCTTGTTATGCCGCACGCTTAGAGAATACGTACTTACCACCAAATGGAGCAGGAGGAGCTGGCGGAGGCCCCGGGCTCGCAGCGCCTAAAAACGGTAAGTTCCAGATAACTTTCCCTTTTTCCCACGTCTTCTTACATAAAAATTGAACAACAGGAAGAAGAGTATCATCTTCTAGCGCTTCTTCTCCTTTTACAAAAATCAGATTATTTGAATCGTTTTCTTTTTATCACGATTTAAAGATTGCATAAAGATTCTAAGCTTAATAATAATAAATATTAAATGTATCTGTTTTGTCCATTTTCAAAATCAGATTTCTTCAATCAGAAAAAAATAGTATAAAATTTACTTCTAAAATATTATATTTAATAATAATTGTTAATATATTCCATATAGGTAATGGCTATGAAAATATAAATGAAACTAAATTATAAGTAAACTTTAATAAGATAAATAATTAATGTTTGTTATTCGAATCTATAAAAACAATCTAAGGTTTAGTTGTTTGCTTTACATTTGTTATGTATATTTTAGTGGAAGATCAAAGGGCATAAGCTGATTAAAAATGTAGTGGTACTCGTGTTGGGTTCATCTCCATATCGCTCATCTAATGCTCCCATTAAGTGCCCTAAGTGTTGGCATCGGGACGTATAAATCACCGGGTGATGTCGAAAACGGTTGCATCGTTCGTGATAGGTTAGATTCTTACGAGAACTCTGTGTAGTTCCTAAATCGTTCCAGGCACATCCGAGAATGTTGAACTGGTATGCATCCATTGTCAATGGTTGTTTGCTTGGACTTCCCGAACGCACGACCTCTGCTTTATTAGCATTTTCGCATCGTAAAACGCGCGCGTCGCTGAATACAAATTGATTAATTTATTTTCGCCAATTAATAGAAGACGAAATGCATTTTCAATTAAATTTAATTAATTGCGCACGATGGAAAATACAGGGAGCAGCCAATCTCTATTCATTACACTGTATAATTCTAGATGTAAATTATGTTATTAAATTAACTACTCGGAATTTCACTTGCTTATATCTGTACAATTTCAAAATTTAAGTCATATTTTCACAATTCATTTTCAAATTAATATTTTTATATTCAATATTTTTTTATATTATGTTCTTTTTTAAATATCTATATCATATTCAAAACATCATAAAAATTTATGGAGGAAAATTAATAAAGTTAAGTAACGTTTATATTGGAAAGTACTTGAATTAAGGAATTAAAAAAAGATAGTTAGAATTTGAAACTTGTTAAGTAACTTGTGAAAATACTTATGAAGCAAGTTAAAGTCGTTATAGATATATGAGAATTCAATTATTGCACATATAATCGATGCATAGTTCTTTGGTCAGCCATCTGCTTACTAGGCAGTACTTTCCAAGTTACTGGTACATAATTTGTATTTTGGTAGCGAATAACGTGAGCCTAATACAGATAATGAAATAGTGAATACTTACCAAATTACTTGTTAAATATTCTGTGATTTAACTTTTATAATATTTCTAAATGAGGCTCACCTCTAATTATTTCAAAATAAAATAATAAGATTCTTCTTCTTCGTAATAAGCTCTCATCTGAGAGAGCGCTTCTACATTTAGCTGCGTCTTGTCGACGCCGTACGCCAGTCACAGGTAATAATAAGATTATATCATATAAGAAAAATCATTATATGCAACCAAGATTACATGAATTTAAACAATTGTTCATATAATACTACAATTTAATTCATGAAATGTAATTGCAGGAAGAAATGGCGGTGGAGGTCCAGTCTATGGTGCACCTGGTGGTGGATCAGGAGGAGGTGGCGGCGGCGGCGGAGGCGGTGGAGGAGGCGGAGGTGGAGCGTCTGCAGGAGCTGATGCAAATGCCGTGATCATAAGCTACGAGAATGTCAACAACGGTGACGGAAGTTACAAATTCAGGTGAGCTATTACGAAGGTTGTTGCATGCGGATGATAACTTTAATGATTTCAGTTATGAAACATCCAACGGAATTAAGGCCGAAGAGGAAGGTGAACTGAAAGGTGGAGGCGGCGGCGCTGACGATGAAGGTATCCAATCCGTGAAAGGGTCGTACTCCTACACGGATCCAGATGGCAATCTGATAACAGTCGAATACACAGCCGATGAGAATGGTTTCGTGCCTAAGGGCGATCACCTGCCCACATCTCCGCCAATTCCAGATGAAATTTTAAAATCTTTGGCTGAAAATGCTGCAAATGAAAACGGAAATGGAGGCGGCGGTGGCGGTGGAAACGGCGGCGGAGGTGGTGGCGGTGGTAACGGCGGAGGAGGTGGAGGCGGTGGCAACGGCTACCCAAGACCTGGCGGAGGAGGCGGCGGCGGTAACGGTAACGGTGGCAACGGCAACGGTTACAAATATTAAAAACATAAGGTGCTCATGGATTCATCCTTAACACATCACGTGTCCTTTACTAACCAATATATATTTTGATCGCTTCCGTTTATATTTCCCTCTTTATATACTTCTATACTAACAAAATACATTCATAATTTATTAATTAATTGACGTTCCAGTTACCTGACACTTGGGGATGCAAACTTTGGCTAGTTTACGTATTTAGTAGAGTCGTTGCTGGTCATAGTTTTCGTATACGGAATTTTTATCTCACAACGAATCGAATAAAAAAAATGATAATTTCAAACGATTGTTGAATGGACCAAGAAAAAAAAAACAACAAAAGACGATCAATAAAACTAATCAACTTTCACAATTTCCTTTAATTTATCGATTGATTGCGATGTGAGTTAAAAATTCCCGGATTTATTTTTTTAATCAAATTAAGTAAATGATGACGACTTTAGCGATGACTTAGGATTTTCCTATTAACACAATTTGTGATTTGTAAATGGTGCTATATGTATATTTATTATTGTCTACGGCACATAAGTGAGTATATTCATCGAGAACCATTTGAATATAACAATTGTTTACTTTTTTACGGATTAACAGATTGTTATGTTTTAGTTTTAACTTCGTAATCTTGTAACATGTGTATATTATCAAATTTCTCTCTCCACATCTCTTCCAACGTTACTGTAATTATTTTTTAAGTTGCATGCGCTATTTAATGTATACGATTATATTATATATTTTTATAAATAAATATTCTTGTGATGAAAATATTCCAACGTTTTATTCAAACAATATTCAAGACTTTATTACATATTTTACAATATAACAAAAATATATTAGTATGTTCTTATTGAATCCTATTTGAAAGTACAGATATCCTCCGACTTACGAACTAGTTCCGTTCCAAAGGGTTGTTTGTAAGTCGAATTTGTTCGTAAGTCGGGTGAATTAAAAATAAATGAAAATATACTTACTTACCACACTTTATCAAGGATTTTACTTTTATATATGTTAAATCGATTAAAATAAACAAAATACTTACAAATACTTTTCAAAAAACAATAAAAGAAACAAATGCAACAAAACAGTACAGTACATCTACCAAAAATATAATATTTTATTAAAGAAATTATCAATTTTTCTTTGGTCAGTTAATTTTGTTCGTAAGTCCGGGAGTTCGTAAGTCGGAAGATACCTGTACATACAAATAAATAATATTTGAATTATATAAGAATATAATACTGGCTAAATGAGCACATGTACGCCACCCCTTAAAAAAAAATAACTCTATCTATGTATGTATCTACTCTAAATAAATATTTTAAACTTCATTTTAACTATAAGAATATTTATATTTTCACTGAAAATTACATAAAATCCTTAAGCTTGGTGGTATTAACAAATTCAATTGCTTAACTATCACTACCAAAAAAATAGAGTTATCTATTAATTAATGCTTATTTAATCATAACCAGATAATTATTTTTAATTCCAAATTATAAAATATGTATATTTTTCAATATACTGTTTTTTTTTTATGAATTTGAATATATGATTTAAATATAAAACGTTCTCTGTTATGAAGCAAACATTGCAAGAAATTTGGGTTTGACGATCAAGGCTAAGCATGTTATGTCGCAAAGTGTGTTTTTAATACAAAATGGGCTCTTAAATCAGCGGGAATCGGATAGAAGAAACAGCGGTTTGCTAATAGAATAATTAAAATTGCAAACCGAAATTAACATAACGTATATTTCGCATCGAAAGTTCAAAGTTCGCCGAATCCAAATCGCATCCCATTTGCCCATCGTCGAATGCTCACGCTCAAACTTAACAATTATCTTTGTATCTTTTTTCTCCGTGCACATGCAATACATAATATAACGTATATACTATGCTCCTCTAATTATATAACCGGTGTTAAAGAGACTAAGCTATTCGTATATATATATAAGTTAATGTGTGAAATGAAACACATTGCAAGAGGGATTTACGCAACTAATTGCTTTAGAGATAAATGAAAGTGAAGAACAATGATGGGTAGAATAGTAAATCCCGGTGCTAGTTGAGTAAATTAATCCGCTCCATTATCCGGCGTCCTTCAACTTTGCATTTTCCTCAAGATTGTAACGAGCTTGATGAGGAAAATTATGAAAATAATTCTTGCGCCAATCAAACGACGAACGACGGCGGTAGTATTAGGTAACCGATAGCGCGACCTTAAATCGATCCTCCGAGTGCGTGAATTTGTTCTATACAAATTCGTTGCCGCTTTTATTTTATTCAAAAGGTTAAAATGCAATAATTTTGATTGTTTCGCTTACTGATTTCCAATAGAAACCATATTATACAACCATTTTTTTGTCTTTCTCTCATTTTTTGATTGGCGAAGATCATTATACTGAAATTATTCATTGCTTAACCTTTACATTTTGATCAAAGTATTGAGTTAAACATAATGAATGAACGTCTATCCTTTCTTTCTAATTGTATATTATACTATTTTATTATGAATAATCTATAATATAATTATAAGATTAAATTGTAAATAGATTTCACTTTGAAATTATGTATGTTGCAATAGGGACTGTATCGAAATCCGGACAGTATCAAAATCGCGACAATCGGGATTTCGATTGCCACCGGTTACTATAGCTATACTTAAGTTATTGAAAAGTATATAAAGTGTAGAATAATTTAAGAGTAAAATATCTTTTAAATTATTCCATGTTCTATTACTATGTGTACTATAAGGTAATAAAATAACGAATATCAATATTAAATGTAAAAAATACTATATTTTTAGATATTTTTGACTTTTTACTGTTATTGATTAACCTTTACTATAATATTTAATTATTAGATAAGAAAGTAAAAAGATATTAGAAAATTTTCTAAAATAGCTGAAAACTATATACAATAAAAATAATTCATTAATACCTCGATTAACGAATAGGATGCGCTTCATAAAATTAATTTTGTTTAAACAAAAAAATTTTAGAAGCCAGAAGGAAAATTAAAAGCTTTTGTGAATAAAATACACTTACATATAAAGTAAAATTACATTTAAAACTATGAATCTGAATTTGTTTGTTCTTTCTCTCTCTGTCTCTCTCTCTATCATTTAAAGACCTTCTTAGATCTTTGGTTGTTAACTTTTTTCGGCGGGATCTTTTTTTGATTTCGTCTTAATTTTGTTTGACTTTGTTGTTAATTATATTTTCTATATTTTCCACTTTTTATCCGTAATATGCATTTGAAATATTTAAATGAAATATTTTATATACAGAATTGGAATGTAAGCAATAAATCTTATGTATTCAATAGAAAAATGTCAATAGTAATTTCAAATATGAATGAATCATGTTCATGGGTGAGGCCAATAAGACATTGACCTTAAAATTAGTTTTTAGTAGGTGTATGCCAATAACAATAAAAGTTTATTACTGTTTTACTCATTAGAAGCAACGAAAATTGATAAAGTTTTTTTTATACATAATAAAAACTAGTATTTTCTGCAATTGAAACAAGAAATAAAGTTTATTATAAATTAATTATAGTATTATTAAAAATAGGATCTTTACAACAAATTAAAGTATTTATAATAGAAAAAATGCATTTCAATATTATCATCTGATGCAGACCCAGCAGTTGCATCACATCATTTGCAAGTAAACCTGAACCTGTATTAGGTTCAAAATGGAGAAGGAATGTCAATGAATCGAAATCAGTACATGATTCCTACCCACTAGTGACTCTTAACGGAAAAATAATACCGGCGGCTAATAAAGTTAAATATCTGGGTATGCATCTGGATAGAAGATTGATTTTTGCAAATCCAAGCAAAAAGAGAACTTAAGTTCAGGAAACTCTACTGGATATTACGGGAAAACTCCCCAATTTCGAAAGAAAACAAGTTGCTAATCAATAAAGTAATTTTAAAACCTGCTTGGACATACGGAATACAGCTATGGGGAGTCAGCAGCAGATCTAATATTGTGACCATACTAAGAATCAAGTCGAAGACTCTAAGATGAGCATTGGTGCTCCATGGTATATTACGAACAGGAAAATTGATGAGGGCCTTCAAATGGAAACAGTAGAGGAAACAATTATGAAAAACAGTAGCCGATACCAAACTAGACTAAAGAGACATCCAAACGTACTAGATATCAATCTTCTGGACAATTGTCAAACAACACTGCGACTGAAGCGACACAAGCCACTGGATCTACCCTTGAGATTCAACAAATAACCAATAAATATAGGATAATCGCCAATAGGCGATGTCCAATTAAAATCTTGTCAACCACCAGATCATTTACTGAATGTTTTTATTATAGAATAGTAGTGAATAAAAAAGGACGATAAAAAAAATGCATTTGTAGAATATATGGTCTCATATTGGGTAATTGGTAAAAAAGTTTGCCGATCACAGATTTAAGGTAATAGTTGGTAAATGAAATGAATATAAAATTAAAACTCACTAGAAACAAAAACTTCTTGAAAAATATAAAAAAATAAATTTTAAATTGACAATTTAGTGTAAACATAACAATTTGTTTTATATATGATTAAAGAAATATTAGATGATTAAATTAAATATAAACAATTCAGGTTTATTAGATTTTAAATGTTTAGTTTTTAAGTAAACATTTGTTTATTTTAAAACCTCCTTTTAAGAGTTTTTGTTTAAATGTGAATTATTGTAAGAATCCGTCTAAACAACTTACTTACCATTTGCGGTTTTACTGTTACAAACATTAAATCTTTTACGATGTTTAATTACTAGAGTTGTAAAAGCATGAAAAAAAAATCTATTAACATGCCGACTAGATGTGAATACCATGTAAACGTAACCATATAATGAAATCATTTGAAGAACAACCACAAAAAAAAGCGACAAAGTTCAATACATATTTATCTTTATTTTTAATGAATGTTAATTTTTTTGATGGGCGTTAAAAATTATTACAGAAACCTCATCCTTTGTTATTGAAATTTCAACGTGCCTCAAGCACAGTGAGTTTCTTCGTTGCCCAACGGAACATGAGGTCAAAAACCACATATTGTCTACGCATAAATATGATTATACCGGACAAATTGCACTAACTCTAATGTCAAATAATGGAACGTACGTGTTGCGGCATATCCATTCGGAGGTTTTACAAGAGAACCTTTCGAATATACGTTATTTCCAAACTGGCTCATTAATTATAATCGGAAATAATTAAGTATGAAGTCGAGCAAAGGGAAGTCGAGTTCCATTCAAATTGTTGTTATGAATCAATCTCTTTGAATACCGCGACGTCGGGTCAAGTTCATTGAAAGTGAAACTGGATCAGTGAACTTTCTCTCTCCGTTTCTCTTGCTACAATTCCGAATGGTAACAAGAGAGATGCAACCATAAGTAATAGATATTTCGTTCGAAGCACTTAGCATAATATGCAAATTCTGCGAGTGGGATGATTTATATGTTACGTGGAAGTGTAGAAATATAATTTAAGTAGAAAAAAAAATGCGATGGGAATTAAGCCAATTGCCAGATTGCACGGGAATCGGTACTCATTACTATTATGATGATCATTATTATTATATCATTATTAGCAAATATATCAACAAAATCATTGCAAAACAATTATTTTGCGTACACGCGTGAAATCGATGCAATTCTGCGAAAATATACATACACAAATTAGTCAGATATTTTAACTGTAAAACTTTCTTAAACTGGTTTCCCTCCTCTGATTTATCATCTTGTCCTTAAAAGAAACCGCTTATATTTGGGTCTTTTCTTATACATACCTCGAAAAAATACCGTTATCTTAGGATTACTTCAACCCTGAAATAAGCAATTATAACTCATAAACATTTACTTTATAATTTCAAATTCTACAATTTCCTTTATTATAGCACCCCGAGATAATCAATTATAACCCATAAACGTTCATCATATTTTTCTTTACATTTCAAATACAATAATTTCCTCCGGAACTCGTGATTTTCATTCACGCAAAAAACATTGGATTCTCTTCAACGTTCGATAATTAAATTTTATTAACCATGATTTCATTGATTTATAGAAATATCTATTAACAAATGATCATCGAAATTACAACGAAAATCACTTTTATGAACGTGACTGAATAGAAAATCGTGCAACACTAAAGCATAATAGAGGCAGCAATTAATATCGTTGTTGTTTCTTGTGCTGGGTTTATGGGAGGCTATGCAATAACAAAAAAAAAAGTGAATGAATAGAAATAAAAAACGATTTTAGACTCACGTGCGTATTTTTATTAGATAAAATTCCATTATTACATGATTTGTCTTCAACTTGTTTACCGAAGTGCTATATAATGATCAATTATTATAGTAATTATCTCATAAAGGTCATGCAAATGCTGAGTTTTAGGAAAAATTGTTACATAATAAAATATTAGGTGATACTTGATTTGCTTTAATATGTGAACTTTTTGAATAATTAATAATAAGAGTGAATATCATAAGGAATAATAGTAATGCGCTAGTAAATACTGATATTATTAGAAGAAATAATATATTGGACGAAATCTAATTTTTGTTTATTAGCAATAAGGTAAATGGTTCATGTCTGAAACCGGACTAATCGAGGTTTAAATATGATTTGTGTATATTTTCTTTTGCTGATCGAGGTCGCAATAAAAAAATCCCTTAAAATCTATATTATAATTAACATATAAGAGAATTGCTTAAAGAAACGAATGATTGAAATTGTAATATATGTGTTTATAAGCTATAAAAATAAAAATAAAATTTCGCTAAATCTCATACATATTTTCTATTCGTAAAATAATAAGATGTCATCTCAATTGCATGTGTGTGTGACGTACAGATAGATTTGGATCTTTTATTTCTCGGAACTCTCTTTTAGTGACATTTAATTTTTTTTTATTAACTTTTCGCTCTTTAAAAATAGAAATTATTAAATTAACAATTCGAAATGGAGAATTTGAAAATAGACGTTTACGTTAACATTTACAGATTTTTCCCCCAATTTATTATTCAATAGTTTAAATATTAACAAGAAATATATGTAGAAAACATATTTATTGATTTCTGTTTGTGTTTAACTTATTTATTCTCTGTTTTTCGATATTCTCGTGTAAATTTAATTAAATGTGATAATAATAACAATATTTATTGCAACAGTAAAATTAAAGAAAAACTTACAATAATCAAAATAAAATATAAATTATTTTTGCTCTTAATTTCTTATAATATTGTTCATATTTTAGTAAACATTTATTATGTTAATAAATTTAAGATTACATTAACATTAAGATTACATTTATTGTTTAGTTGTTTAACAATTATCATTGATGAGAAATGTATAAAACATTATTTTCTGTTTAACTTTCTTGTTTATTTTCTGCTTTTGCGTCATTCAAATAAAATTAATTTTAATTTTATTATTCATTTATGATAATCTTGTTAAAAATTGAGTAAACTCTTTTATAGTAATGAAATAAATTACTTAAAGTGCGTACAAGGTTTTCTTTTAAATAAAAATATATCTAAGGCATACGTTTTTTGTTTATTTGAGTTGTTTATTCAATTATATGAATCTCATTTTATTAAACTATTATTTTTTTCTTTCATTTGCAATAAATTTTCTAAAAAAAAATATTCAATAAATTAAATAAATCTAAACAATAATTTGATCAAGTTTGTTTAATCAATTATTTAATAAATTGCGTAAAGTGATCAATGTAAGCTTTAATAAGATGAAAAGTTACACAAATATTACTACTAATTATTGCATCTCTAGTTTTGCTTAATTTTATTATGCCATTGATAATTTGCCTGAAATTAGGTAAGACTAAGGATTTTGCTCTTGTGTCGGGTGTAAAGTTAAGCAAGAGGTGGGATATTTTAGCGTCTCTGATCTCAAGAACTGTTGGTGGGGCTGCAACGAGAATTTGTATAAATATCTGCCGGATGGATTCAGGCGTCACACACAGTGATCACCATTTTTTATCAGTGTTTCGGATTATCTGATCGTAAAACACAAAACTACATCAAACACCATGAAGTTCATAGTAAGTCCTAATAACAATTTTTAAAACATAATTATTATTAAAACATAAATGCTTATAATAATTAACCAAGAAAAAACAATCAAAAATATAATAATCACGAAAATAATATAAAAAAATATATAGTAAAAACGAATAAATTGAATTAAAAAAAGATCAAGTTTGACCTATTTTTGCAATATTTGTTTTCATTGTAATATTTTGAATAGCTAAAGTATACGTATTTAGTAATACTTAATTATACTTGATTCTGATATATGTTGAAACAAATTAACATAGGTCAAAGATTATCTTTTGTTTATAAAAATAATTGATTAATTGATTTTCAAGTGTGAGAATTTGTAAAAGAGATGTAAAGCTAGTTAATCTATTAAAAAATATATTAATTATTATAATTATCATGAAATTGTTATAAATTATTCGTAACAAAAGCAATAATTAGAGATTATTTACAAATATTGCATTATTTAAACTTGTCAAGTAATTGAGAGAACTTGTTCTATATCGCGTATTGTGTAGCCTTGTTAAGAAAGTTCTTTCAATTGTATATATGTAGGTGGTTTCGACAATAATTTAAAACTTTTACTTTCAGATTTATTCTTTGGCTTTGTTCGGCGCAGTTTTGGCAGCCCCGCAAGGCCCGACGACTGAACCGGTTCCGATTTTGAAACAGGATCAGGAAGTCAATTATGACGGATCTTACAAATGGAAGTAAGTGCCTTCAGTATTCACTATAATATTAAACAATTGTAATCTATTATTAATAGTATATAATTTTTTTTGTATTCCTTAACGTTTGTTTCTTATAATTGGTTAAAAACAAGTGATGATCAGTTTATAATCAATAATAAATTTAAGTGGGGTTTTCCCAAACACCGATTATTTCAATTTGATTGACAAGTGACAGATGTAATATTATGTTGTTGTCGTAGTTACGAGACCGGAAATGGAATAGCGGCGGAGGAACAAGGTTTTTTGAAGAACGCCGGACAACCTGAGCTGGAGGCTCAAGTAGCTCAAGGTCAATTCCACTACACATCTCCCGAAGGACAACTGATCCAGCTCAGCTACATCGCCGATGAGAACGGTTTCCAGCCGCAAGGAGACCATCTTCCGACTCCTCCACCAATTCCAATCGCCATCCAAAAGGCTTTGGAATATCTCGCCTCTTTACCACCAACCCCATCCCCGAACAGGCGATAATCTGTTGTTTTAGTGAAATGTCCGCTAGCATTGAAGATTTGAGCAGACGCAGTTCGAAGCGCCATTTCTGCTTGCAATAGTATTTATTTTTTTCTAGTATCTAGATGATTTTTTGATATAGCAGTAGAATTACCAACAGCTTCTGCTTGCAATCAAGAATATCGCTTCGAATTACCTGCTTCCATTTTCCATAATTTTTATTTGATTTTATTTTTGTATATATATTCAGTAAATATAATATTTTTTGTACTTCTACCAAATAAATGAAATTTTATAAACAACACATTATTTTTTTATAATAACATTTTTCATTAATAATAGAAAATAGATATAAAAAACGTATATTACAGAATGTAAACAAATGTATATCTCTTGTAGAATTAGTCTCAACTGAAAAGTTAAAGTAACTGCTGAGTCTTAGAAGGAACCCCAAGTGTACAATATAGCATTAGCTGAAAAAAATACAACTAATTAATAAAGTTGTTTAAAATCATTTGGATTTACTTAATTCCTCAGAACTAAGACTCTAAAACGACAAATCCAAACAATATTTCAAGGTGTACAGAATTCCATCCATGGGACAAAGTAATGAAAACATTGAAATAAATGAATATATATTAGTAATAGCTATTAATAACTTCCTTTATAATTATGCTTAAATGAAATACGTTTTAAGGTAAAATATATTTATACCAAAACAAAATTGTGGAAGTAATTAAGTTAAAAAAAATTATAATCATATTTAAATATTGTTTATTTCATTTCCCGTTATATACATAAAGTTATATATAGTATAAACTGTTATAATATTTTCTAATTTAGGTAATTCAATTTTTTAATAGAAACTAGAAAATAAATTGTAATTTTTTCTTGCTTATTTTTTATGTCGAAATTTTAACGGTCATCTAAATACGTCCTCGACAGATTTTTGTATATAAATAAGATTATTATAACTGTGTAAACAAACTGAACCTGACCTGTCTTTTTGCATATGCATTAATTAATTATTTTTACTAAAACTATATTTGAATATTTAACCTCAATTTGACACCTACAGAAATGTTTATGCATGAATAATTTAATCCGCACATTCATAGAAGTAATAATAATAATATTTATTCAAACAGTATCATGTAAGAAAATAAAAAATAATAAAACTTATTTATATAATTATATATTTTTTATTATTTACAAAGCAATCTATCAATCTATAATTATTTTAAGGAAAAAAATAATTAATTCTTACGAAGGGCTAATAAATATTTATTTACTATGATTACGTAAATTTGATCGCAAGTGAAATTAAATGTATAAACTTTATGGGTATGTTTACCATTATTTTAATAATGAACATTAATTCATTTAAATCTATATACTAAGTCTAGTGGTTTATAACGCTTAAGTGTTGTTTTGTTGTTATCAAGAAGGTTAATGGCAAAACATTATGTGATTTCAATATATCTTCGTAAATGGTAATAATCATTGTTATTGAGACTGATTTGGAGATTTTCATATATTTATCTATTCTTGATTAACCACGGTGTAATTATTAGGCAATTTGATTGGAACCTTTGGTTAATTTGTATATTCGATTTGCTGGCTGTATATTTTCTTGTATATCAGTAATTTAATATCAACTAATAATTCCAACCTTTCCCCGATAACTAACAAACTTTAAACTTTCCAATTGTTCCCACTTTTCTTGGATATGGTCTATCCACATAAATCTTCTGTCGAGATGCATGTCTAAATATAGGTCTTTCGTTGATTTGAACGGAACTTTGCCAATAAGTCTTACGTTTCCTTCTTTAGTGAGAATGTGATATTGAATCATCCATACTCTCCATTTTTGTGCCAGTACTATAGCTTATCTAAATTTTCCTGCAGATATTCAGATGATATTGCTGAATTCTCATCTGATGCCAATATTGCTGTATCATCAGCGAATTTTGCAATCGTAGTATTACTAGTTGCTAGTAAATCAGTGGTCTTAAAACACTTCTCTTCAGTACCGCTATTGGATATAAATCGGTGTATTCGCATTCAATTTATACCTGAAACATTATATTCTCTAGATACAATTTCATTGGCAAGTACCTACACTTGATTACAAAGAAATGTGCTGGTACTGTGAGGAGGATGATAGCTCTGAGCACACGCTTTTTAGGGCTTAGAAGAAAACACGAGGCAGATGCAGAATTGGGAGTTCTGCCAGAGCCGGAAAAAATTATGAGCGAAATGTTGAAGTGCAGAGAGCTGGGAGATTGTAGCAGCATATATAACAGAGGTATTAATGAGTAAAGAAGAAGACGAGCAGAGGCTGCAGCGGGCTTACGAGGACAGTGGTAGTGGAATCCAGCGCTAACATGAACCAAGGGAAGTGCCAAACAGGCAAAGACAATCAACATCGCAGAATAGTACAGTGATACAGGTCCTGTGTAAGGTCCACCCGTGTTTCCTATGTAAGGTTTCCTCTCCTCTACAAAAAAAGATAAGATTTCATTATTTTATAATAATTATATGGCAAGTTCTTCCTTATCTTGTATAGTAGACCGGTAAAATGCATTAAAATAAATCGATTAAAAAGTAAGCATATTTTATTTTTCTTTTAATGCTGTACCAATAAATATTTAATGTGAACAAATGATTTGAGTGAATTTCTATTTTCTAATTTAAACTAGATTTATTTTAAAGGTGAAACTATAGGAAATGAATTAATTACAGGTGCATATTTGTATCATACATGGTTTTCCTGTTTTAAGTTGTCGTAATTGTAATAATAACAATTTAAGTGTCTAAAACGGATATACCACTTTTTAGTATAAACACATGTCAGTTAAAGGGGAAATATATAGGAAATACAATGAGTATGCTTAATTGTAACATATATGGTTTTCCTGCATTTTGATGTCGTAATTGTAAACATGAAATGCGAAGCTATATAATAGTAATTTCTTTATAAATCAGTGATTTTATTTATAACTCGTTTAACGAGTTTAGTCCGTTCCAAAATTTCCGGATTTTTACTCAGTCAAACATATTAGAAATACACATAATATAGGACTTCTCTTCTCATCGTCACTGGTTATGAGAAACGTTGATCGTTAAGCGAGTCATTTTTCTTACAATTCATTAGGCTCGTTAAGCGAGGTTCCACTGTATAATAATTTGAACTAAAATTATAATAATTGTAAGTACATATTTCTTCAATATTTCTCTTTAACTATAAATACCACTGCCATTTACGAACATGATAATAGAAAGTGAAACTATAGGAAATGCAATGAGTATACGTGCATCTCTATAGCTTGTATAGTTTTCCTGCTATTTGAAGTCAAAATTTTAAGGGTCAAACATTATGTAATAATAATTACCAAACATTATATAATTAAACTATACGAAATATATCGAGTACATATACTTAAATTATATAGGTATTTTTTTTGCATTTCATATTTGCTGTAGGATCTATTATACAGTTATGATTACATTAACAGATTGACTGAGTTGAAGTAGCCAGTATTTATTAAGTAAAACCAAGACGACGACATTGAAAACATATATAAATCATGGATTACGGTTTCTTCTTCTTATAATGTTTAATATATTGCACGGATGTGACAGATTAAATAAGTTTGGAAAACTATAAATCGGCAGTTATTAAGTATTAAATTGAAATAAAAATAAATTATCATATTATTAATATAAGGTTAATCCTGAAGAATTCAGTATAAAAACCGAAACAAATCGATGAAGCAAAACACATAATTAATGTCCTGTTATTATTATTAATAGATTTTTCCGAAATAATTTTTGTTCGTCAATCAGGGTCATGTTTTTAGTTATTATTACACTACTAATAATTATTGTCGCGTTTTGTCAAGGATACATTTTAAGAAGACTTCAAGAGTACTTCAAATCCGCCACAAAATTATTTATGGTGCAATATTTACCGGATATTTATTATTTTTCATCTCTATAAATAACTACAACTTTTCAATTTACTAAAAAGAACCAAAGAATTTTATTAATTAGTGAAAAGGACCTTAATGTTACACGATTTCAAACATATTATTTATTTTTAATAGGAAAGTGAATAATCTAATTATTCAAACAATTTGGATACACACATCTATTATACATAATTTATTGATTTTACATCGGTTATAAAAAATATGTTGTTTTGTAAATAACTTGTAAATAAAATAAAATGAAATGTATTTTTTTTTATTATAGTATAATTGGAATGCGAATGCGTTTCTTATATAATAGATAACTTGAAAAATGTCAAGTGCATTTTATTCATGTTCGTTTGAACCTTGCCAAATATAGCGAATTGTATTTTATGAAACCGTATAAAGTTATACGATATGCACAGTAGTAAAGTTATTTATTTAATTTGTTCATAAAAAAATAAATTCACAATAAATACACAACTATAATGTCATGAAAGTTGTTTAAAAATACGGATTCTACATAATTAGTTGATACTCATTATTTGTAAACTAAAAAATAAGCTGTCTACCAATAAATTATAAGCCATTAATATCTTTTTATTTATTTTTTACTGGCGTTATTTATTCTAGTATTTGGAAGAAAATAAAAACCCCTAAAGGCTATTGCTAATTTGTTTATGTCATAAATTCATTTCCTTGATTTATTTTTTGTTGTTTAAAATTTATTCGATTCTCAATGATTGTACTTGTTCTCATTATTAATTGTTCATAGCTAAAATAATAAGTAAAAAAGAAAATTTTTCGTTTGGTATTAGATATTTCGGAAATGTTGATTTATACGCGTTTCGAAAGTATTGAACTTTTGAAGGCGGGAAAGCGCATTGCAAAATTGTCATACACCCAGAAAAGGTTAAATAGATTATACAATGGATTTCAATATCGCCAGAATCTACGGATTACCAAATAAAAGTCTGATATTACAATTTTTTTGGTAAGTCATCAGATTATTCGGTTAAGTGGGAGATGCTATCAGGTATAAATGGTTGAGTCCGCAGTTCCATCGGCATCATTATACAAACCATTCAAACGCACAGCCGAAGATGAAAACCTTTGTAAGTTAGAGAAAGAGTCGATTGATTGCATAAGAATAAATTTCGCATAGGCGATGGCTCTCTCACGCATTTCATACAAATTAATTATATTCTTTATTTATTTTTTTAGATTGTTTTTGCGTCCTTCTTGGTCCTTTCCATGGCCGCCCACATACCCATCCTTCGTCAAGTGACAGATATCAACCCGGATGGAAGCTACAATTACGCATACGAAACCGGTAACGGAATCGCCGCTGAAGAACAGGGATTTTTGAATGGAGAAGGACAAGTTGCTCAAGGGCAGTTCCAATACCCATCTCCGGATGGTAAAACTGTGCGTTTAGTGTATTTGGCCGATGAGGATGGTTTCAGGCCTCAAGGCGATCATCTTCCAACACCACCACCAATCCCACCGATGATCCAAAAGGCATTAGATTATTTGGCGCGCACCGGAAAATTGTAAAATGGAAGAACACGCTCTGTTTTTTTTTATCTAGTTTTGTAAAGTCCCTAGTCATAGTAGTGTTTGTTCAAATCCTGTAAATAGACTTTTGAACAATTTTTTTTGTTGATTATGTTTAATGAGCAAAGACACTGTTAACCTCAGGATAATTTTAGTGTTATGTTAAAGCGTACATTGATAATAAATTTTTGATACTTTTATTTCGGCTCTTTAGAAATTTATTCAAACCTGTTGAAAGACTTATGGCTAAATTGGTCATTGAAGCAATCCATTCCATTAGAAATGACGTTGAATTCTCGATTGCGAAAAAAACATTTAAATAATATATCCAATTTAAATTTCAAAACAAAAAATATATTGAGTAAGACTAATCTTCGGTCATTAGTCTAATTTATTGTACAGATCGTATATTTGTATGTTTATAATTAGTAACCTTACTTTGTAATTAATTTTTTATTCAATATCGAATATGTAAACTCATTTATTTTTATATGTAAACATAGTGGATTCTATTGAAATGTTTAACAACTGGTTTTAAGTAAACAAAAAACATGTTATAATTTAAAACAAATTTTGGCAGTTCTCGAAAAAAGTAAATTTATATTAAACATTTGATTGTCTGACCTTCTATTAATTTCTTTTGTGCTTTAATAACATGTCATATTATATTAACAATTATGAATATTATGTAATAGGCAGCAATACTTTGGTTGTTATCCCAAATTTATGATTTAAAATATTAAAACTAACTGTTACAAATATTTATCATATATAAATCTTTCCAGTGGCAATTGCAAGCCCGAGAACCGAAATCCCGTCTATCGAAATCCCGGCATTCGAAATTCCGAAGTTTGAAATCCCGACTGTATTAAAGTCCCGACGCTTGAATTCCCGGCTGGCTCAAAATCCCGACGTTTGAAATCCCGACTATGTCAAAATCCCGACTACCATAATCCCGACAGTGTCTTTTATTATTATTATAAATTTCTACAATAACATTTTGATGGTAGTCGGGATTTTGACGTAGTCGGGACTTTAATACAGTCGGGATTTCTTACGTCAGGATTTCAATAAACAGTCTTTCGGTTGTTGGGCTTGCGATATAGACCTAAATCTTTCCACATGGATTTATTAATAATAAATGATAATAATAAGATAATGTAAACAAAAATAACTAATGCAAAGGACTTTTGATTATATTTATTAATATTTTTATAATTCACAAATATTTTGAAGTATCACTAATTGAAAATTAATAAATAAATAGCAAAGAGACATATGCAACTATATTTGCATTAAACTTAATAATGAATACTAAATTATGTTCATCGTTATACGTAATATATATATTAAATAACGTCAACTTTAATAATGTATATTAATTATTTAATATATTGAAAATATGGAAGAAAGTGTCAGATTTATTTTGTCATATAATAATTCATTGAAATAAAATTACAGTATTTTTTTTTTAGATAATTTTTTTTGGTAACTTAATAAAAAAGGCAAAAACGTTTATATTTTTCATAATATTGCTAATAATTAATTACTTTAATTAATGTTTATTAGAATTTATTTTATGTTGTTTATTTTTATTATTTATATTTGTATATTTTTTTGTATTGTTTATCTGGTCAAGAAATTATTATTACTGTTGTTTTTTTCATATAATCAAAAAATAATTGCTAACGTATTTGTTTACCATTTGACAAACCTCTTAAACTATAAGATAATATTACAAATATTATTACGATAATAATAACTACTTTCAATAGTATTTAATATGGAATTTGTCTGAATTGTTTACTGTATGCAATTTTTATTAATTTTGGGGTAAAATCTATTTTTTTAATTAATGAAATTAAATGAGAATAATACAAATAAAGTCAGGTTTCATTATATTTTTCAATATAATTTATTTATTTGCTTTTTTTTATAATTTTGTTTGCATTAATGTCTAATTTTACAATTATCCAAATCGGCATTTACAATACCTTTCCATGTGGAATTGGTTGTGGGTGAGCTGCGATGTATTCAAGAGCCCTTTGGATCATTGGTGGGATTGGTGGTGGGGTTGGCAAGAAATCGGCTTGTGGTTGGAAACCGTTCTCATCGGCAACGTAGTGCAGAGCGTATTTAGTTCCATCAGGAGCGGTGAATTCGTAAGAACCAGTAGCTTCTACAGCAGCGTTTTCGGATCCAGCGTTCTTCAGGACTCCGTGTTCTTCAACAACAATTCCATTGGAGGTTTCGAAAGAGTGCTTGTAGGTTCCATCGAAACCGACATCAGCTTCCTGTCTGAGAATTTGGACAACATCCTCAACAGCTGCGGCAACAGCCAAGAAGGCAAGAGCAACGAATACCTTATAGAAAATAAATAACATTAATTAATATATAGTTTATAATAACTTTGTTTATGATATTAGGTTATACTCACAGATTTCATATTGATTTGAAGAATTGCTGTGTAATGATTATTTTTCGGCGGTGATCACTATTTATACACAATTATGTGAGCGTGAATGGAAGATGAATTATCTTAAGCCACTTCTTTTTTGTTTAGTTACTTGTCCCCAAGGCCGTTAAGTTTGTACATCTTAGACAAATTCACTTTTTGAAGATGAGCCAAACTAATGAAGGTCAACGATTCATACGTTAAATATCAAGGAAAATTAATTACTGACAATCATTGATAAATTTAATAAAAAATCCATGTCTATAATTTAGTTAACATCTTCAATAACAAATATTCTCATATTTGTATTCATATAGTAATTGAATATTAAAAAATATTGAACAAAATAAAAAAAATTGTATATTTCCTTAATAATTATTGTTGTAATTAATGTACTAATATAATTATTAATATTTTTACTGGTATCAACATGCAACCTGTCAATAAAAAAAAAAGAATAAGTAAAATAACTAACAATTATTGAATTTGCCAATTTGTAGTTTAAATATACAAATCTCAAAGTCAAACAAAACAATGTAGCAAAACTAGAGTGGGTTAATCGTGTGTTGCGGTAGGTAATGTGGAGTAGTTGAGTACGGTCAAGTTCAAACATATTGAGATCAATAGTAAATTCGTTTTAAATTGCTGATTCACTGAACCACTTCTTGTTTCATTCATTGACCTTTCTCAATCTCGTATTTTTTCTCATTAATTCTTTTTAAACTCTATATAGAAACTTACTATCATCTGAAACATCTTATAATAGTTTACATTAAAAATATATTTATTATATTAAAAATAACATTTTCAGTTATAAACATTGTATTAAACCATAGACCATAGGTCTTTCTGCTATATTATTATTTTTTTAACAAACTTATTATAATAAATTGCATATGAAATCTAAAATTTGGTCTATGTCTTCAATGAAATCTATGGATTTTTAAATAATGCAAACAATTGCTTTTTCGGACCTTATTTTTATATTTCTTATAAATTCATTCATAAAAACATGAATATAATGATAACCTTATGACTTTAAGTAATTATAAAATGTTAGTTCAGTGGAACCTCGCTTAACCTCACAAGATTCGTTACTCGAATCAGTCGTTAAGCAAAATAATTTTACCCAAATAAATAAATCTAAAAATAAGAGCATGACATAATATTTTATACTTTATTATTTTTGTTGTTCACAAATTTTAATTCTAATTATTATTTAGCTATGTGTATTGTTCAAGTTTGCTTCTAAGTATTTTTCGTGATAAATATTGTTTAACTTTTGAAAGTTATATAATATCAACACTAGATATAGTTCTTAAATTTTTAATTTCCAAATGGTAAGTTTCAAATTGAGTAAAAGTTGATAAGCATCAAATGGTAAAAATAAGGCTGAAACTAATTATTTTTCAAGTAAAAATTAAACAAAACAATATGTTTTATGTTGAGTGTTTCTTTATTTACTTCTAAAGTATGTTCATATTTACAAGTTGCATACATAAAAAACATTATTTAGAATTTCTTTCTGTGTTCTTGAGGTTGTGGGTGAGCTGCGATGGAGTCGAGAGCCTTTTGGATAGCAGCTGGGATTTTGATTGGCTGGGATTTTGATTGGCTGGGATTATGTAAATAATACATCTAATATTTTTTATTATATTGCTGTTTTTATTTATGGTAATATTTACAAATCATTTATGTACAAAAGGTCATTTATAATACCTTTCCTTGTGGAAGTGGCTGTGGATGAGATGCGATGTAGTCAAGAGCCCTTTGGATGGCAGCTGGGATTGGTGGTGGAGTTGGCAAGAAGTCGGCTTGTGGTTGGAAACCGTTCTCATCGGCAACGTAATGAAGAGCATATTTAATTCCGTCTGGAGCGGTGAATTCGTAAGAACCAGTAGCTTCTACAGCAGCGTTTTCGGATCCGGCGTTCTTCAGGACTCCGTGTTCTTCGACGACGATTCCGTCGGAGGTTTCAAAAGCGTGTTTGTAAGTTCCATCGAAACCAACATCAGCTTCTTGCCTGAGGATTTGGACAACATCTTCAACAGCAGCGGCAATGGCCAAGAAGGCAAGAGCAACGAATACCTAATCAAATCAATAATTATTATTAATAGTTATTCAGTTATTTGCTTGTTTATACGTACAGATTTCATCTTGATGTGGAGATTAACTGTGTAATGATTACTTTTCGGAGATGCTCACTATTTATACACAATTGGTTTTGTGAGTGTGAATGTCTTTTGATAAGCAACTTTTTTCTAGTAGTTATTTATCTTCAAGGCTGTTAAGTTTGTTCATCTCGTAGAAATGTAATTTTTGAAGATTGGTCTTCAAAATGAAAGTCGTTTATTAATTGCATCAGTAATGTTTAAAAATTTTAATTATAAAAATAATCACAATGAATCCAACTATTATATTAATAAATACAATTAATATCAATGAATCCAACATTATATTTTGAGAGATTTAAAAGAAATCAAATATTTAGTGTATAAATAATAGTAGATTATTTTATTTTAAATTATTTACTTTTATTAAATATATAATAAAGTTGATTCTAAAATATTAAAAAATATTTGAAAGCTCTTAGACCTTTTGTATTTGTTTCGGTATATTGAAGATATAGTATGCAATTATCTAATTTTAAAAAAAATCAGTTAATATTTGTTATCATGTCGCTTATATATGGTTGATGCAATACATAAATGTATATTGCAACATTATATACGTTGTAAATAATTTACTTTTTCCAATTCTTTATTTTGTTTGTCTAGTAGTTGCCTTTATTGATGATTATGTAGAAAAAGTGGATGTATTCTTTCAAGATACTAGATTCATTAGGATATGACCATATATATAATGACTTAAGTAATTATTAAGTAACTTATATTAGTGCAATGGTCACCTACTCAAGTTTCTTGACTTTTTATTAACCTCCAATAACTCCCTAACAAGACACAATTCCTAATTTTCTAGACCCAACAATTTTTTAGCAACTGAATCAGACAACAACATCAACTATCAATCAGATGGTTTGATCTATCAAGATTTATCATACCAACAAAATTGAAGGATTAATTCCTTGTTCGTGGACATTTCTTAGAAAATTATAACAATGCCCAACTTGGCATGTTCAAACCACCGCCTCACAAAGAGTTAACAGACTTGATTCACTTGATACAAATTTATTTTTTTAAGTGTTATCATTAATTACAATTTGCTTATCATCCAGTGTTATATTAACATCATTTACTATTTCTGTATTTTCTTAGGATAATAAATTCAAAAATGAAATTTATATGTAAATGAAAAAGAATAAATACTTTAATAATTTTTATTATATTGCTGTTTTTATTTATGGTAATATTTACAAATCATGTATGTACAAAAGGTCATTTATAATACCTTTCCTTGTGGAAGTGGTTGTGGATGAGATGCGATGTAGTCAAGAGCCCTTTGGATCATTGGTGGGACTGGTGGTGGGGTTGGCTAAGAAATCGGCTTGTGGTTGGAAACCGTTCTCATCGGCAACGTAATGAAGAGCGTATTTGGTTCCATCTGGAGCGGTGAATTCGTAAGAACCAGTAGCTTCCACAGCAGCGTTTTCGATCCGGCGTTCTTCAGGACTCCGTGTTCTTCAGACAACGATTCCGTTGGAGGTTTCGAAAGCGTGCTTGTAGGTTCCATCAAAACCTACATCAGCTTCCTGTCTGAGGATTTCGACCATTTCTTCAGCGGCGATGGCGGAGGCAAAAGCCAAAACGGCGCAAGCGACAAATACCTAATAAAGTCAGTAATAATTATAAAATATATATTAAATTCATTTATTTGATTGTTTATACTTACAGATTTCATCTTGAATTGGAGATTAACTGTGTAATGATTATTTTTCGGAGATCGTTGGTATTTATAGATGATCAATCAAGTGAGTGTAGTTGTGAGAGTGTGTTTAAGCCAGTTTTTTCTTCCTTACTTGTCTCCAAGGCTGTTAAGATCATACATTTCATCAAACGCAATTTTGAAGATGCGCCACAACGGTGAAGGTCATCGATCTCTAATCGAAAAAATGAAATACCAAGGAAAGAGTATATGCAATGACTAATTGCATATGCCTTAAGCTATTATTCAATTTTACCTTGCGATAATAATTTTTGCCACACTATATGTTTGTTAACTAAAAATATGTTTATAGTAATATTAATTTAAAAGGCAAAATTACTTATAGTAAATAGTCTACTGCAAAGGGCTATACTTTTTTTTGTCATAATTAGTCAAAATTAGTTTTAAATTAATCAGTGCAAATTTACTATAATTTATTTTTAGAAAAGTGCTTTGATATTTATTTCCATTTTATTTAATCAATATAATTAATAATAATATTTATTGCAAAAAATCATACTACATACTCAAAAAAAAATAACATAATATAACAAGAAAATAAAAAAAAACAAATTGATCTGCTACAAAGGGCTATTGACCACAGGTCTTCTTGTCCCAATATAATATTTTTTTTCGATTAATTGTAGAATTTGTTCAATATTATAAAGATGCAATATGTAAACAATTTATATTTAAAAAAAATATGTTTCTAGTTGATTAATATATGCAACTTTATTCACACGGAAGCTATTTACATTAACTACATTTGTGCTTATATAATTGTCTAAGCGATATTTTGGTAG